CTGTGGAAAAGATAACAAGCTGAAATATGTTTATCAATAGATCTAATAAAATAATTACGTTAAATTCACATTTTATTATCACTCTTTATTTTTTAATATAATGAAAAATAGATGTTATACAACATGCACATTTGCATTCATATAAGGTTGCAAATATTACATACTATTTAAGATGTAAAGCTGAGAAAACACATCTAAATTATTAAAAAACTGCATTAGTGCAAAACTGAAAGATATAACCTCAGCACCTGGGAATGTCATAAGAATATCACAGTTTTCAGTGGGTGCCATTGCGATGGTAGATTTATGCCCCATGAGGTACTGCCTGGCATGAAAGAGACGACCTCTGAGCAATTTCTCTGTTTACAAGAGGAAAGAATGTATTATTGTGATATATATTATTGTATATATATATATATATATAGGTCAAAACACATGACTTGTTTTGGCTTGTTCGTTTGGTTAATTCAATGTTACCAACAAGCCAAATCCAGTATTGTGTTTTGACCCAAAAAGATGAAACCATCTTTTTTTATGTAGTTAGTTAGCAGACAAAATATGACCACTGAAACGTCTGCACTCTGCACAGTGCACACACGGTCACAAACCACTACAGCTTTACATTTGATCAATCACCCTATTGAGGTCAAACCAAACTGACATTTCTACAGAGTCGTTGTCTACCAAACCTCACTTTACACTTATAAATCCTTAAAGCTTTAAAGCTCAGCATTATGCCCAGAAATATGGTTAAATCAGAAGTTGATGGCAGTGTGCTGTTGTATGGAAACTGTTCCTTTCCATCGAATAAGAGGATTATTGCTAATGTGCCAAATTGAATCAAGTTTTTCTTTTATTTACCAGAGCCAATATGTTAAATGCAGCTTTCCTCATGTGGAAGCCCTTGTTCTAAGTTTAAGGAGTTCTTTGGAGGAAACAGAGTCCTTGTGTGAAAGATGTTATCAATTTTGTGACCACTGTGTCACAAACTGTGCTCTTTTTTTCCGTGACAGTTACATGAAGTGTGAAGAAAATGAGAGCTGAAGTTTTAACATTATTCACTTTGGCAGCCTATAAGGGCTCAAATTACATTTCATGCTTCATGTTTGTTGAAGAATAAAAAAAACTTATGTTGCCATTCTGTGATATTGCCGAATTGCAAGAGCTAATGAGGACAGAAAAGAACTAGACAAAACGATGTAGCTCGATGTAGCATTTAACAGTGTGACATTACAAATATGCATTTAGCTCTAGTAGCTTTTAAAGCACAATTATATATTCAAGTGACTGCATTCGAACATAATGATGTTGTCGAGCAGCATAACATGCAGGAATCATGGACATATCATGGAGAATGATTTTGCCTAAAATATATGGGGTCAAATGTTTCGATGACATGGTAACAACTTGAATGAGCACAGTTACAAATAATTTCATAAATATGTAGGAAATATTTATGTGTATTAGGTGCTTTATGTGCCAACCACATACAGGTGAAGCGCCTATACCATTTAACACGCTTACAAACAATATAAACAGCCGATAACGAACAGGCAAATGATGTTTACTGGGCAAATATCAGACCCTCAGATATCAACCTTTAGTTTTGTATCCTGCCCCAAAGCTATCAATCTTGTCATACACAATAAAGAAAACACAGCGATACTGAAACAAGCATATTTTAGGTTTAAACTAACCTAGGACAGCTGGATAACAGCATGCAAGCGTCTGGTATGTCAGTGTCACTCACCTAATACCGCCGAGGACATCGCGTGCGATCTTCGCTTTGCTCTGCTTTATGAATACGTCAGCTGTGATGATGCCGTCGTCGGCGCTGGTGCTGAAACTGCTCGGCCGGAACCAGCGAGGCTTCCCGAGCGGCCAGAGCCTTTTTCCTGATGCAAACAGGTGCAGAAAGTCCATTGACCGCTACATAAATCGCCAATCACATGTTGACATTGATCATCCATGGCGCTGTCAACACTCAGCGGATTTCCTCATAATTTGACAAGAGCTTTTTCGGCTACCATTTATACCCTACGTTTGGTCGCTTAGTTCTTTTTCGCTGTGTTTGGTTTCCAGTAACTTGTCAGTAAGTTGCATGCGCCATCTGTCTCCTCTTCTTGACTGGAAAATTACGCAACGTGAGGTGCATAATTCATAGATGTACTGAAACGAACCAATCACATTGACTGCGCAAAGCGTTCGCGCACAAAGAGGTGGAAATTCAGTTGCCTACAGGTAGCTATAATGACAAAAGACTGGAATTCATAGCGATCTGAACATATTGGCCTAATAAACATACAGGCCTAGTCTTGCTGGTGGTTTTGTGATAGAGCTATATTTCAGACAATGTTGATCACTTGTTTTATGTCCCATATGAACTTGTTTAATGACTAACAATAAAAAGCTGACATTTTTACCATATAGGAATTTCTTCCCAACAGATCACTACAAATCCAGTAAGTCCTATAAAGTATTTTATACTTTTTATTTGACTTTTTTCTTCACGAAGATGCCTTGTTTTCCCTTATGTGTTACCGAATTCCCTAGTAGGCTACTAGAAAATATTCACATTATAGGCTAATTAAAATTTTTATATTTTTTCACTACATATTATATTTTAGTGCATATAACATTTACGGTGTGTTACCATCCCAGTTACCATCATAACTCCCCTTTATTAAAGTGTTTTGCATAATTTAAGAAAAAGAAACTTAAAACAACATCAGGAACAAATGTCACTTTATCTCATATTTTGCTACTTTTGTCAGTAGGGGGCGATCTTAACTCGTCAACCTTATTACCATTATTTTGGTCACTAAAGAAGTTATTATTAAAATCGTGATATTTGTAGAAATAGCAGCAGCATTAAAATATCTGTCTAGTGACTTATAGTGTCATGACATGAGCACAAGGCCAGTAATGACTAAATAAACTATAAAACTTTTATCATTAACACTTACAAGAATGTTTAAAGTCTTAAATAAATTTAGATGAGGCACACAATTCATGGAATGACTTTCAAACTGTCACTGTCAGAACATACTCTAAAGACTATATAATTGGTTTACGGATGGCTGTTCAGCTTGACAATATGGCCTATAATTATAATAATCACATGGTATGGTTGATGCTTTATTGTTACCCCTAATATGGAAACATAATTCAGGTTGATTGGGACACTTTTTTGCCATTGAGGTGACTGGGAAAACGTGTCCAAATCAACCTAAATTCACCCCATATGTATTTATATATTCTGTCACGACGACTGACCAAATTTAAGGCTGCTCTGATATCTTAGACAAACACACAAATATTATTTTACTTTTTCTATTAAGATTTTGTATGTCTCTATAATTTTAATGCCTATCATATCTGTATAATGCATATGGAGTAAGTTCTGCAGATCCACATACAAGATTGATCAGTTGAATTAAACGCTTTGTAAAAAAAATACTCACAAAATGACTAAAAGGTGTTTTAAAGGGAATTTATTTTCTCACAGCTGTAAAGCATATATTTCATAAGACTGTTGTATTTTACCTGACATTGTCAGGTGTGAAATAATATTTTTAGTTCATCTTAAACAACAATTGCACTTGCTGTTTTCATCATTTTGAAACATTGCTTAATCTATTCTAGACCCTCAAGAGACCATGTGTAGAGGTCAACAAGAGAAGTGTTTTGGCCTTTAATGTCTTTACCAGAATGGTGGGCACAGAAGGGCCAAGCAAATGGGAAATGCAATTAGTGCTTTGGGGGAACAAAGAATCTGAGCTTCTAGAGACAAAAGGTGATGAGTTCTATGACCTAGGTAGGAAGGATATAATAATAATAAGCACTAATGCGTTTCCTGGTGGAGGGTGGAGAAGGGATATTTACCTCGAGATGCAGAGAGGGAACGCCATGATTATTTTCAAAAGACCCCAAAGAAAAACGTAACAAGTCTTAGTGCTGTTACAATGGGGCATGCTGGAAATAAAAAGGCTAAGTTCAGAGACACTGGCACTTAACATTCCACACCCGCAAACAATAATCGCATTGTCTACAATAGATGTCTCTGTGTCTTTACAAAGATCTTTCAAAGAAGATGACAAGACGTCAGAGCCACCAAAAACCTGTCTACACTCTTTGAGAACAGGGGATCTTACTGTCTTAAGTGGAAAATCACTAATGTCAAACAAAGGATATCCTTTAAGCTGGATAGCAGGCTCCTTCTGTGACGCCTCAATATATTAATTGGCGCCCTGTTTCTTTGCTTTTGTCTGATCCACCTTTTTGGCACTTCAACAAGCATCCTGTCACTTGCTGACAGGATGCTTGTTGACATGGGAAATTATTTGAATTGTTTTACATTATGTTCACATTGTGCAGGTTGCCAGTACCTTACTCTGCATTTTAGATCCATTTCTTTCTTCATTCACAATACACACTGGCAGCATATTTAATATTAATCAAATTTAAGGTTAATTATTTCACAACATATTTATCGTCAGAATGCATTAATGCGATCACTTTACTGAGTTCGGCTTTCCTGCACGTTAGTTGAATGATGACTCGGTATGACACTTAAACGGATTTGCTTTGGTTGGAGAGCGGCTCTGTTTTAAATAGTGCTTCCCATTGACGCAAAACAATGACAATAGCCTGATGGTTAGCCAGAGCTATTTTAAGCTTAATGTGAAGTGGACCTATTGAAAATTTCATTGATAGTTCTTCTTGTCTTGTTTACAGCTTGTTTGGTGGCTGAAAGAATGCAAAACATTTTAGCCATTTGTACTTATATCAGGATCTGTAATTAACCTTTTTACCTTTTTATAAGCAGATTCGTTTTTACTAGTGTAACTTGATTTCTGTATGAATTATTTGAGCAATTATTTAACGGACTAAAATAAAAATAAAAAAGAATAACATGAATAAAACATTTTTTTTTGTTCCTTTACTTTTTTATTCCACGCAGACAACAACAACAAAAACATTACTATGAAAGACAACTATAGTGATAGACTCATTTTTTATATACAAGATATATTTATATACGATATATACAAGCATAAATGCGCAAAAGACATGATCAACTTCACCCCACAAAATAAAATGTATATTAATATTCATAATTAGTATTGACATTACAGACTTGCAGGGTCAGTACATAGGTTTTCTATTTTCAAACAGTTGAATCAGTCTATATATAAACACTCCTTTATCCTGATTTTGCCAGGACTTTGTTCATTCCCTCAATTTGGGAGTAAATAACGATGCAGCTCCTTCAGATGGAGATTTATTTGGGCTGTAAATTGAACACAAAAGGTTATGCATTTTGAAAATAAGCCGAAAACACTATGAGTAAATAAAAGAGAATATTAGTTTAAAAAGTGCAGAATCATACCACTTCTGCTTGGTTTTTACCTTGGCTTAATGTTTGACCGTCACTCCCACCCGCTGTTGTTCTTGCTCCTCCAAGAGTCGCTCCATTTCCAGGTGGATTAGACCCAACTGAGCCAAAACCTGCACCTCCTACCACTGGTTTTCCCATCCCTACTCCAATTGATCCTGCACTGCTGAATGCTGTTGACCCTGTTCCACTTTGTCCAATATTGCCAGTTGCAGTAGGATTTGATCCAGCACTGGCAAATCCTGTCAACCCTGGACTTACTCCACCCAAACTACTTATCCCTGTCTGAGCTAGACCTGTTCTACTTAGACCTGACCCACCTGTCCCCGCTGGAGCTAATGATCCTGTTGCACCTGTTCCTGTGCTGCCCAATCTTGAATTTGATCCTGCACCGTTAAGACTGGAAAATACTGGGCCGGCGGAGCCTGTCCCTGGCATGTTTGGTTTGCTCAGTCCTGTTGAACTCAGACCAGTTCCACCAGCATTTGGCATGTTTGGTAAACCGTAGGGATTTGGCATGAATGAGTTAGGTCGCATTAGTGGCTGAAAAGGAGAGAATTTCAAGTTTTTGTAAAAATACAATTAAAGTTCACTATAAATATACACATAATAATTTACAACTGCAAACATAATTGTTTATAACATTACAAAAAAATACAATAATTTATTTAAAACTTAGTTTATAAGTTGAAAGACCATAACCTCACCTTACAGCTGGCAAGTGAGGTATTGAGAGTCTCAATGGTGTGTGCGAGCATTTTAGTTTCTTTTTCTTTCACAGAAAGAAGCTGATCTTTCAGGTTGCTCTCTTCTTTTAGCTTTCTGTTCTCCAGCAGAAGTTTTTCACTGTCTTGGTCATTCTTGAGCTGAAATTGCTCAAGATTCTTGCGATTCTCGCGACTCATGGCACTGCGATTCTGATTGCACCACTCAGCGTCCTCTTTCAGGCGTTTGTTCTCTGTCTCATATTTGGCATTTTCTCCATTAATTTTGGTGAACTGGTTCCCCACTATGTTCAGATATGACTGGAGCTTGTTCTCAACTTCTCTTGAAAGACTGCTACAGTTTTCCCTAATGTCTTCAAGCTGATTTTTTTGTTTGTCGCACGTTAGCTGGAAAGAAACGTGTTTTGAGAAGAAGTCATCGATCCTTTTGAGGAATTCTTTGGTGACGTTGGGGATTCCTCGTAAAGAATCGACAAAATCCTCTTTGCACTTCTTTTGATACAAGTTGAGTTCTCCCTCAAGGAAAGCCTTGTCTCGCCTCAGTTCAATTGCATCTAAGTGAAACTTATCCTTGTCTTTGTTGGAGTTGTCTAACTCAGTTTTCATAATGGCCATCATCTGAGTAAAGTTCGCTTTGATCAGCTTGAGCATTTCCTCTGACTGCAGGAGCATACTTTGCAAACGTCTGTTGTTGTCTGGAAAAGCAAATTGTCAAGACAAGTTGATCTATATGTTTATTGAACCCACGATTTCTACATTTACTGACCGAACACACATATTCATATTTAGTTTTATGGGGTTACAGGCATGTGTTAAATTAACAAAAAAAATCTGAATTTTTGTACGATCTGCCTTAAAATAAAAGTAAAGTAAATTCTGAACAACAATCTCACCATTTGGATCTGGACAGAACGTAGGAGGGCATGAGCGAGGTACGGCCATTCTTCTTTCCATCACACATTGAGACTGTAAAAACAAAACAAAAAGAAAAAAACTGGTTAATGAGGTTGAAATGATGCATTTTGATGCTCTAAAACTCATGTAAGTATAAAAGTTTACCATTAACATTCTGCTAACGTTTTCCAGAATGTTCATAAGGAAAAACATTCTTAAAACAAAGTTGACAGAAATTTCAGGAATTACTGTTTCATAGCCTATATTGGAAACGTTAAGAAAACATTATTAGAACACCACCCATCATGCAATTATTAAATGCACCTTTTTTTAGCATCTACCTTCTCAATAGGGCATTCTCTTTTGTATGAAACCTATCTGCAACCAATCAATTTGTTGAATACATTTTAACTTTGCCCCAAATCTCACCATAGTTGTTTGGATGTTCTTTATTGTCATAGATGAGATGTTTGCCAGTCTGCGTAATTCAGACAGAGCTTTGTCATTGCTCAGCTTCGCAGTGAGAGTGACGTTCAGAACTTTGGTGAGGTTCTTTTCCTTCCCACGGAGAACAAAGTTTTCCATCGTGAGTTTGCTGACACTTTGGTCCAACTCTTGCAGTCTTTTTTCCTCCATTGAATGCTCGGGTTGTCCGTACACCAGAAAGAGCACCAGACTCGCAATGATCAAAGACTGGATGAGTGAGGAGAAAAAGAAGACAATCTTCATGTAGTAACCACAGCTCTTGCCTTTCGACTTGTGCATCTTCTTGGCAGCCAAGCCAAAGTTGGCCTGAGAATAACCACTGTTGTACATCACTGCTTAAATGTGACCTTATCAATGAAACCCCAGGTTCATTCACTATGCAAAAGTGTTCTCCTAAAACATCAAAGGCAAAATAAGAAGTGAAATATATTAACGCTGCCAGCTTATATTGTTTTCCTGCACCTCCCATTGCATGACGCGTCCCTGGTCCACCCTATGGTCATGATTCCAGAGGTTAGAACAACATCACGCACTGCTGAAGGGCTGGCCCGAACCTAAACTCTACATTGTTCTAATATGTATGTCCTGCCAAAACAGATCCTTTTGTTTGACAGCATGCTGGCACCCGAGAAAGCACATGGTTGACGGTTTGACTACGTGCTGTTTTAAACAGAGTCCTTCAGAGATGATTTTAGATCTAGGTTCATGTTTACGACATTATGCGATTTTTTTTATTACAGAAATAATTCTCAAATTATTATGTAAAAGAGGCTCTAAAGAATTCTGATGGACTCATATTCTGATACACCACATTCCTACATGCTGTCTAAGATTCTTCCTGACGTATGAGGATGTGGTTTGTATATTGTGCCTTACTAAAACATTACCTTTGACCAAAGCATTTCAGTCAATGGCCAGTTTTAGTTTTAAACATAATGTAATTTGGAGTTGCACCATAAGTTTGTGCTTTTATATTCTAGTTGTTGAGCCATGTTTCTAAACATTGTAGTTATTTTTTCTGATTTTTTCAGATATCTAAAGAGCCAGATAATAAGAATATTATGAAAGCATGTGGCTTTCCTGCCAGGAATTGTTGATGTGCCACCCCGATTCCAAGAGGAAGGAGTAATTCATAGCTGTGTCTCAGAGTGACAAATGCTGAAGGCACTGTCTGGACACTTCTTAGGTAAACTACTGAACAAATGAAGGAAATCAGCAATAAACACAGATGCATACACATCTGCTGACATTATCAAGAATTAATCGTCCTGTTTATCTGTTACTAAAATACGCCTGACGTTAAAATTATCATCATCTAACAAGATTCCCTCACACGCTGTTGTTTCAAATGTTTCCAAATCCCATAAGCTTGCCAAAGCACACATTACCTCATTAACCTTAAAACATTTGTGCTTGTATTATGTTACTGCACTGACAAGACTTACATAACAACAAAAAAGAAAACAGAAATCAATTTAAACATAATTTAAAAGTGTGATTCAGGTCGTTTGATCTTTTTTTACACAGTGATTTAGGGATACACCCTTACCCCAATATTTGGACAGCATCAGGAATTATTGGTGATTCATGGTTTGATGGTTAGCTACCTAAACTAAACTGCCATTGAGACTGCCATTAGTTCTCCCCAGGTATAGACTTTATTTGGATAATCAAAAAACAGAGTTATGTTTTTAGTCAGCATTGTTGGCTTGTTTGGCTTCTTCTTAGTCAGCATTTAAACTTTACCCTAGTCTGCTAGTAAACTTGAATACAAGTATTTTAACATACAATAGATTTACATCAACTTTGAGACCTGTGGACGTGGCATCTGAATCTCACCACTAGAGGGGGATATTTCCATATATCACTGAACAACACTATAGCATTTTGTCATTTAACAGACTAAAGTAAACTAAAATGTAATTAAAAATGTAATTAAAAATAATTAAATTATAATTTAAAAAATATTTAATTGCAAAATAAAATAAAATACTAAAATAAAATATTCCCTAAAATAAAATTTAAAAAAATATTTTAAAATATAAAATAAATATATTATTTTATAGCAAAAGAATAGAAAAGAAACATTTTATTAAACTTGCTTGATGTTCCAACACGCTTTCAGGGATCAGTAAAGTCAGTAAGTAACAGCTGCAACTCTACCCCACATCCTAATAGAGATCAATCACATTCCTGAACCCTGGGGTCAAAGGTCAAATAAACACCCAGTTTGTGAAATGCACATAGCACAAGAAAGCACTCAGAGCTGTGCTCCCCTTTTCTTTTGTGCACTCTCTCTTTCTCTCACACACACACACACACACGCTCACATAAAAACAATATTTGTGTGTGTGTCCGTGTGTGTGTGTGTCCGTGTGTGTGTGTGTTGGGGGGGGACCATTTTACATGCTGCAAAAAAAAAGAAGTAAAAAGGGCCAAATCCTAAAAAAAACAGTTGATATACATGATCAAATCAGCTTGCTGCTGGTTTCGTTGAGCAACCAGGGTTTTGTTTCTGTTCGCTAAGAATATGATTTCCCAAAAAGAGTTGAGAAGGAAGCAGAGGTTGAGTGAAGGCAGCAAATGAAATGTTTTTCTCTTGACTGTGACCCCTGAATAATTATATGAACTGGTCGCCAAGATCTAAATCTCAAAACAAAAGACAGCTGTCTCCTGGATCAACAACAAGATGTACAGCCTGGATGGCTTTCTCATTGTTTGAAAGTAATAAAAAACGTAACGTAAAGAAATTGCACTTTCCTTTTTATACATCTGAAACAAAATCTTTGGCTCAACCTGTGACCTTGTAAAGCTCACCAGCATTTTTTGATAATTGCATTAGACATTATTATTATACAAAATGATGCATTTCCTACCCTCTGACCTCTTGCTGCAGAAATTATGATTGAATTCAAGCCTGGGTTACCTGGTAACTGCTATTAATATATTTGTACTTTTTAAATCACTTTGAGTGTAAAGAATCTCAAGGCGTTTAAAAATGTGTTCCATAAAACTAGTGTCCTTTTTTTACATTAGGTTTTTATTTTTAATTACTACTATCCAGTAGTGACTCCTTGTCAATTTCACTATACTTCAGGACATACTACTCAGTGAAAAGTATAGTAACACATATTTGTAATTCCATTTGGGATCTGTAGTTCCTTCACTTCCAACTAGCATGTTTATCAATAATTTCTTACCATTATTCCAATTTTTGCTGTCAATTTCTAGTTTTACTACAATCTATATTCATTAGGTAGGCCTACTACTAATTTCTAATCTTACTTAACATAATTTACTACATGTTAGCTATCATTAGACATTACACTGTAAAAAGTGGTGACCGGCAATTGTTACTTTAAAGAGCTATTTCTTCCATAATATTTAGTTTTATTGATATAAGTTAATGTAGGCTTAGGTAGCAATATTAAAATAATATGTTTGACTTGAATAAATAACCAATGAACTTAGATGTTACCATTTTGTCCCCAGTGTAGTTGTATTCCACTTGTAACATTTATAATCTTGTAATTTTAATGGAAGTAGGCTATAAAGTAACTTAAAACATTTTAAATTATTACAAATAAAAATGCAATTGTAATGTTTTACTAATTAATTACGTTTCCCTTGAAAAAGTAAAGGGATTACTCTTAATTTTTATGTAACTTAATCAGTTAATTCTGATGTAATTGCATCAAATACTTTATAGACAATTGTGAATAAAACCTTCTCCCTTTAAATACTTTGGTCAGTTCAAAAATAATTTATGCAATTTGATATTATTTATTTGAAAGAATTACGAGAGCCTTTCCTATCTATCCTTGTATTGTTCAAGTAGTTGAGGTTGAAATGGGATTTAGAAAGTAATTAATAATTGCAAGTAATGCAATATTTTTTAGAGAGAGTATTAGTAGTAGTCTAATTACACTGTTGAAAATGTAATTAGCAAGTACAGTTTTTACTCAACACTGTTACTAGTAACTATTGGGAATTTAGAATAGATAGTGTCTCTATATAAGGCAATGATATCTAATATATAAAGCTGTAATAGATACGAGTACATACTGGAATAAGTAGGCCTACTAGTATCATCTAATTAGTTCTTACTTGTAAAAAAAAAAAAAAAAAAATGCAAGTCACCATTGCCAGTAACAAAAATCATACTAGTTTAAATACTTCCTACAAACATAAATGTTTTGTCCGATTTAAAATCATTAACGCTAAATTATATTCTCTAGAGTAGCTTATCTAGCCGGTGCATGGCTACCGACTACATGTTCTCTCAAGCTATTTACAGGTTTGGCGTCCTGTAGGCATATGTGCAGTCCTTGAAGCACGCCCGAGGTCACTGATCTCTCAGGAGCAAAACACCACATTCTTTTTTGTGTGCCCAGCAGTGCTGCTCTTTGACTTCTTTGCCCATATAAGGCAGGAGATACCATGGCAACCGTGGGCTTGAATAGCTGTGTCAAATCCCTCCTAACCCCCCCGCCCCTCACACACACACACACACACACACACACCCTCACAGGCACGCGGCGCGCGCTCTCTACTGGACACTGGCTCGCGCTCTCTCTTGTCCTTCTCAAGCCCGCGGACTTTTGCACTCCCAAAAGCAGGTAGGTATATTGAAATATTCCCGGGGTTTCGCCGCCGTTAACGACACGCTAGCTTAACATTCGAAGCGTCAAAGGTGAGCGGAAATAAAAACAGTGTTCGCCGAAGTCAGGAGTGAGGTATGTCGCTAAGCTATGGCTCCACCCCTCCCCCTGCTTGATGATCGCTGGAGGTTAGGCCGCATGTCTATTACTAGCTCTCATAAAAAATAAAAACAAGAAACGGGTCATTTAGTTCCGGATCACGGCGAAACCATTAACACGAGCTTACGTTAAGGTTTCAGGGTTTCACCCGTTTCGTTTTTGATTTAGCAGCTACTCGTTCAGCGCCACTGTAACTGTTAGAGGGACTCCAAAAGTCTGTCCTCATTTCACAACAAACAAGCGCAGAGAGCACTTCCTTGAACAATCAGTATCGTGAACGAAGACGCTGCTCTCCATACCGAGATGTTTTTATTAGTATGTGATTTTTTTATACTTAACGTTAAGACGTTTATCTTTTGTAATATCAGTTGTATGTTTATTCTGCTCTTCATTCCTTGGTCTAGCAAGGAATATTGAAAGATTAGACATTTTTGTAAAATGCATTGCTAATCTATTCTGGCTACAAGCGTCAAGTGAAATTATCAAAAAAGAATGTGTGTGTATATATATATTAACATATGTGTGCAATCTGTATTATCTATACATTTAGTAAAGGCCACAGTAAAGCAAAACTAGTTAAACTGTCAGGGTTTTTTGCTATCCTGGAAAACCGTGAAATATTCAGGGCAAGAAAAGTCATGGAAATTTCTGTAGGTAACATAAATGTTTTTAGTTAGTATTAGTTTAGTAATTTGCTATTACTCATTAAGTGCTTCCTAGGCTATTAATTACTTTTTTGAAGTGGAATTTATATTTTTAAATTTCAGTAATAACAATAGAAAGATTGTCCGAAAGCGCGGATACTCTGAACTGCTTGATAATAACAAGTGAAGAACAATTCCATGGTTTTGAGTAACTTCTACTTTTTTCTTCACAGGTCTTTGATTGAATTGGAAACTAGCTTCCAAATGACACATTTTCCGAGGTGTGACAAAAGAAGCGGGAGCAAAAGGTGAATATGGTCAGTCAAGGAGCCAAAACAACATGCACAGCCTGCTGCATGAAGAACAAAGTTGACTGACTCAGACGTTGACTGTCTGAGCCTAAATGTGTCAGACGAAGCTGTGGACAATTACCAGATCTAAAGGCCTTCATAGCTTCTCATTTTAGAACACACAGCTGTCAAAAAAGGGGTCAACTGAAACGGTCTGTGCCAACAGCACGTTTGGGAGTATTTTTCCTCCTTGGTTGTGTTGAGAACTAAGCGATGGCCATGGTGAGAGGGGGGTGGGGAGATCCCAATGGGGAGACTAATGGACTTGGTGGCGACAAGGGTTACCTGAGGGGAGATGAGGACGACGGGTCACCACAAGGAGGCGGCAGCGACATGGAGGCTGGGGACGATGATAAAAGTTGTGTGGTGGACTGTGTGGTCTGTGGTGACAAGTCCAGTGGGAAACACTACGGTGTGTTTACCTGTGAGGGCTGCAAGAGCTTCTTCAAACGGAGCGTCCGGCGAAACCTCAACTATACCTGCAGGTAATGGAGGGAACTTCAGCGCTGTTTATGTACGTTCAAGTTGATGTTTTCAGCATGTTAACTTCAGTCTCAACATTAAGCTTTTCTGGTGCTTTTCAGATCGAACCGAGACTGCCAGATTGACCAACATCACCGCAACCAGTGTCAATACTGCCGTTTAAAAAAGTGTTTCCGAGTGGGAATGCGCAAAGAAGGTAACTGTCTATCCCGCTCGTCATTAAACCAGTCGGAATGGCTTTCCGTCATTGTTTAACGCACACAGATTCAGTCAACTGATCCACTGATTTGTCAACATGTTATAGAATGTATAGTAAACTACGGGTTTTTTTTTTTAAAGAAATCTCTTATGCTCACTGCTTAATTTATTCGACCAAAAATACAGTAACATTTTTTTAATATTGTGAATATAAACATTTTAAAAAGCTGTTTTCTATTGTAATATATTTTAAAATGTAATTTACTCCTGTTATGGCAAAGCTTTTTTTTTTTGCATCATTACTCCAGTCTTTAGTGTCACATGATTCTTCAGAAATTATTCTAATATGCTGATTTGGTCCTCAAGTAAATACTATTAGGCCTATCTGTAAAAAACAGTTGTGTTTCTTAATATTAGACGTTATAAATGTCTGCTGTCACTTTGATAAAAAATTAATGCATCCTTTGTGAATAAAAGTATTAATTTATTTTAAAAAAATCTTACTGACCCAAAACTTTTGAACAGTATTTCCTGGAGCACAGGTGCTTTAAAGGGGTCATATAATGCCATTTTTGTACAAGCTAATATGATTCTTTAGGGTCTAAATTAAAAGTTTGTAATATACTTTAATTAAAAATTCTCATTAGTATTGTAAGAAAACACTTATTTTACCTGGTCAAAAACAGCTCTGTTTTCAGCACGCCGTTTCAGTGCATATGACTTTAAATGATAATGAGCTTTGCTGACTCCGCCTCTCTGTTCTGTGCGTACACGTTTGTAACACAATACCATAACGTGTTGTTCATTATAAACGTGGGATTATGAATTATATGGAGAACGTCGTACATAGAAAACATGCAGTAATGTACCCTGAGTGTAAACCTTAGACTCATTCATCGTGAAGCGATTTGCAAAGATCTAAATATTAATATAAAGTTTAATAAAACGTTACACTCACTTCAGTTGTTCTAGAGGTTCAGCAGGAACACGAATATCTGGTACCGATTCTTTATTCAGGAGCAGCTGCTTAGCAAAACCAGCTTTATACTGATCCTCGTTTATAAAGCAGTCTGGTGAGAAATGATTCGCGCAAACATGAGAGCATTGACGTTGCTCGTGGGGAATATTCCCTTCGAAAACAAACTCAGCCACTGCGTCTTCAGCGGTTCGGATTTAGGAACATTAAAATGACTGCTGTGTTCGTTATTACAGCCAAGAACAGAACACCACAATCGCTTAGACGCCATTCTGCTCATAGACAGTGCTCCAGCATATCAACAATGACCGCGCCGATCCGCGCAGACTATGATTGACAGCTCTCACGAGCGAGGGCGGGTCTGTGTTGAAACGCGCCTATCAATCAACAATCGCGGGAGGGGCGTCCGACCGTGTGACGTCACACGGTCGAACGGCTCGATTTGAGGCAGGGGAAAACATATAAGGAGATTAAAACAAAACCACTGGATGGATTTTTATCATTATATGATGGTTGTGTACAGGCACTGCCAACACACATTTCAGTACAATCAACTTAAAAAAGTGCATGTACCATTATATGACCCCTTTAACACTACTGAGTCAAGCGTAAATTATATACACAAATTGTGAGTTTGCAGTCTGAACTACTGAATGTGACTGGGTACCATGAATTTATGCAAAGACAATAATCAGTCTTTTTACTGCATTGTTTTCACAGACTACATGCAAAAACAAGCATACAGCTCAATTAGTGTAGTCCAGTTTATAAACATGACACTTAGGAACAGGTTCTTTTAATTAGACTCACAAGTTACTGGTTTTGAATCAGTGAACTAAAGTTATGGGTTGGTAAAGCAAAATTCTGCTGGAAACACTGTTTTATATTTGATAGGTTGAGGGAAAAGAGAGCTGTACTTTATTTTAAGCTGACCCAGATGGTGTTTGTTTACCACATTTGCCAGTGCACATGATAAAACTTGCATTAGGGCCTGATGACCTATATATATTTTAGGTTTTGCTTTTAAAATGAAGTGATCTTCAGCTATATTGAACATGTTCATTGCTCATTTATAAAGTCTCTGGAGGTTTGACTTAAACAGTGTTTCCTTTTTCATTTTTTGAGTGCTTGTGTAATCAGGAATTAGATGTTTCTAATCCCTTCAGACTCTCTGCAAGATGTTTCATGATAGAAAAAGAAAGGGCTGTTGGAAGTTGGAAAAGTCATCTATCAAGCATTTCAACTCCATCACGACTCTCCCCTTCTCTTCCCTCTCCCCCTTTAGCAGTTCAGCGTGGACGCATCCCACCTTCGCATTCGAGCCTCAGCCCATCCACGACTCCAGTGGGCGGTAATGCCGGGAGCGGCGTGAGCGAGTTCTACAACGGGCAGCCGGTGTCCGAGCTCATCTCCCAGCTCTTGCGGGCAGAGCCCTACCCCAACAGCCGCTACAGCCATCAGTACAGCCAGCAGATGCAGGGGGGCGGAGGATCGGCCATGGGCATCGACAGCATCTGTGAGCTAGCTGCGAGACTCCTGTTTAGCACCATCGAATGGGCCCGAAACATTCCTTATTTCCCTGAGCTGCCTGTATCTGAGCAGGTGGCCCTTCTGCGGCTCAGCTGGAGTGAACTGTTTATCCTTAACGCAGCCCAATCTGCCCTGCCACTGCACATGGCCCCGCTGCTCGCCGCCGCAGGCTTTCACTCCTCTCCCATGTCTGCCGAGAGGGTGGTGTCCTTCATGGACCAGGTGCGCATCTTCCAGGACCAAGTGGAGAAGCTGACCCGCCTGCAGGTGGATACAGCAGAGTACAGCTGTCTAAAGGCCATAGCGCTCTTCTCACCAGGTGCGTCAGACACAATACTCGGATTAAACTGCATTTAACCGAACACAATCGGTTCAAAGAAGATGTAATACATCTATGTTACATCCAAAATGGTAGAGAGAGAATAATAATGAGTAGAATAATGAATAATGATACTTGAAAGTATCTTATCACTCACTTCTTTCACTCACTTTGCACGGACCGACCGTCACTCGCAGTAACGCATTTATGCAGGCTACAAATGCACACTTCACAAGATATCACAGCTGGATTTGAATAAAAATAATTCTAGTCAAGTTTCTTGCGTTATACTGGCACCCTCTACTGGATAAGAGAAAATCTCTGTTTTCCTTAATGTTTCTTAGATGCATTTTGAAGCAGCTTTTTATCTAACATATTGTTAGGAATAAGGCAAATTTATAGAGTACATAAATTCATTATTTAGAACTTGTATATTCTTTCTTTCCTGTACTATCATGTTTTTATTTTGAGTTTAAAGGACAACTCCGGCGCAAAATGAACCTTTGGTCTAATTAACACATTGGCACCGAGTCGACCGTTCTCTGGGATTTCTTTTCATGATAATCGAATGTAAAGAGTTTTATCTCTAAAAACTGTTTAACTTATAACGCTAGTATATAGGGCATAGAATAAGTAAAAAGAAATCGCTAGTTAATACCACTAACAAGGCTCAAAATAGCCCCACACGAACACGGTAGCATAATGAGGGTCCCTACATGCAAACCGAAGCATTGAAAACTTTGTAAGTGTACAGACAATTAAATAAGAAGATACTTTATAAAGACAATACACTTCGCGTATACAGGCAGGAGCCATCTTGGAAAACAGTCTCGACCAGTCAAACCACGAACGCCGTGCTAAGTGAGCTGGTCGATCGGAATTACGTTTGTGAAATCTAATTACATGGAAATGCATGAATTATATCTGTTTATTAAAATATATGGGTGACTAACTACAAGGGAAAAAGGGGTCCCATACTTTCATATGAGATTCCAAGTCACAGTTCAGCTCACTTAGCACGGCGTTCTTGGTTTGACTGGTCGAGACTGTTTTTCAAGATGGCTCCTGCCTGTATACGCAAAGTGTATTGCCCTCATTATGCTACTGTGTTTGTGTGGGGCTATTTTGAGCCTTGTTAGTGGTATTAACTAGGGATGGGCATTTTTTCAAAAATATTGCATTCGAATATTCGGGCTCATAAAAATATTCGTTTATTTAAATGACGTTTAACGAAAAAGACGTTATTTTTTAAGTTAAATATTTTTTCACGTTTTTGTCACCATTTCTGAACAAGCTTACAATTAGGCAATATACACAAGAAGCTTACAATATATGTTAAAGTTTTCTTTTAGTTGAAAACATTAAACAGAAGGCCTATGTGTAAACAAAAAATATAAAAAACAAAAGCATTAATAAAAGCATGCTTAAGCAGCGCGAACGGGAAAAAAACGCCTAATAAAGCAGATTGCACGTTTTTATTGAGAAACAATATCCACATGCAGGGGCGCCGCCAGCAATTTATGCTCGAGTGAGAAAAGGCGCTTTGCTGACAGACGCTTCAGAGACACAAAGATAATGGTGTTCTAAGTTTCTAACAGCACTTTCTGTTCTTAAACCTGTCTCCCTCAACGAAACTTAAAGGAAGTATATGTCTCAAAATCATTTTGCTATAAGATAAGTTATCATCTCGGATTACGCGGGGTCCAGCTGCGCTTACCTGCAGTCGTGAATGTCTGCAGTGTTGGACAGCTGTCTTTCCTCATTCGACTGTTTGGATTTCATGTGATTTCTCATTGGGTTGATGATATTATAACTCAGATTAATTAATTAATTCGATCAAAAGTAATTCCATTTAGTAAAATCATTTTCAAGTAATTCCAAACTTCGCGAGGCAGACGACAACATTATGTGATCAAATACACACAACTTGTTAACACACTCCACAGCGCCACCCAGTGCATTTAATTATAACTGCGAGTTAGTGCTTGGGATTTATCATGGATTCACTGTATTTACGGCCAGCAAAGCAATGTAGTAAAATTCGAATAGTATTTTATTTTTCGAATAATAATTACAGATCGAATATTCGAAAATTCGAATATTCGTGCACATCCCTAGTATTAACTAGCGATTTCTTTTTACTTATTCTATGCCCTATATACTAGCGTTATAAGCTAAACAGTTTTTAGAGATAAAACTTTACATTCGATTATCATGAAAACAAATCGCAGAGAACGGTGCCAATGTGTTATTACACCATAGGTTCATTTTGGGCCGGAGTTGTCCTTTTAAATTTATACGCTTCAAACATTTTGAGAATTTATGTGCCCTCGATAAAGAACCTATGCAGGGCTCAACAATAGTTTATATATATTTATGATTACACTAGACCCACCCCAAATGGTTGAATGTAACCATTAAATATATATAATATTGTAATTATCATCAAATATGTAATGTTTAATGTATAATGTTTTTTAAATGCGTCAAATATTTAAATACATTCACAGTATTTCACACATAAATTTAAATTGTTTTTTTCCTCAGATCATTCAAAGTTTATTTTACAAAGAAAATTAGCTGGAATACAAAGTAATTACTGGAGATTATTAGGGGTGTCACCCCTAATAACTATGATTCTCATAGTCGAAGATTCGATGCTTCGATAGGAGGAGCCTGATTCGACTACCAATCTCACGGTCGAATCTTCGCAGATGTGTTATTAAACGAGGATTATGTCATTTTGGCTATATGAGTGTGCTCAATGTCTGATTTCACATAGAACTACTGGTTTTCTGTCAATATGTTAATATACAGCCTATTATGATAATGCTGTCGATAAAAATGTGTAAAGAAAGAAGCTTTTAATAAATATTTTAACGTGCGCGCAGGGTGAATAAATCCAAACACCCCGTGACAGATTTAAGTTTCACTTTCGATATCCGTGACCGACAGAGGAGCGTCTTGTCGGCAGGGATTTAAATCTTTAAAAATGTCTGGGATAAGACAATCTAAAGATGCACACCATCAGAAAGGATATACTCCAAGGCTGGATTTAGCATCAGGAAAGCACTTCTAATTTGATTTTTGGATACTGTGAACACGTTTAGCTAAAAAGACTGCCGCTCCAGTTTAGCGTTTATTGTTGTTTCTGCAGTTAAAAAGACAAAGTTGACAATCCTGGCCATACTTTCGTTATTTTAATAATTTCTTTATTTTTATTTTATTAATTGATCACTCAGGGTGATCTAATTTAACTATTTGTGACTTGTGTTTTGAATATTTGTTCCCCTGCACTTTAGGCATTTTGCACACATTTGTTCTGCTTCTTGTGATTTGATTCTGACTTATTTCGTTTTGTATTTTTATTTATTATAAAAGTATATTATGTTCTTAATTGTTGATTATTTTTCAGTGCATCGATGTTGCGCTGTAGGCCTACATATAGCATGATCGTACAGGCAATTCAGCCGATTTAATTTGATTTGCATGTGAAATGCAAATCCTATCTGCAGTGTGGCCTTTCTGCAGTTATTTATGTTATTTCTTAGTTTTATTGATCCAAAATGTTTTTATACATTTTCTTCTATATCTTTGTGTGATGTTCTGTACATCGCGGCTTTAAAATGTTAAAGCCCGCCCCCTGCCCAACACCACACACATGATTCGACTATTAGTCGACTATAGGCAGGACCTGACGAATCTGATTCGACTATGAAAATCCTTAGTCGGGGACACCCCTAGAGATTATACAGTTGTAATATAATTCTAAGACGGCCATAAATTTATAAACACTTCTGCTGTAAAATTATGGTATACAAAGCAAAGCATTACTAATTTTTAGTGGTCGACCGATATTGTTTTTTTGATGGCCGATGCCGATATCTTAGAGAGCAGGGTGGCCCATATAAAGCCGATATTTTTATTTAGATATATATATATATATATATTTATTTATTTGAATCAATATTTAATAAATTTATAAATAAATTAGAAAACAAATCCTTAAAATAAACATGCTTATACTTTAGATGGCAACTTCTTGAATCTGCAATTCTATTACAGTATTTTTTTTTACAAATAAAGTTATTGTTTAAAAAAATATGAATATGTGAATAAAAAGTAAAGTAAACACTGTAACAGGGCACTCGGTAATCTGGTAATTTCGTGCACACTGGTAAACAATTTTGGTATTTGGTAAAAGACATGGTAACGCTAATTTTACATACAGCACACAGTGAAAACGATATGACTACGACAGTGCAACTGGATATAGCACAGCATATTTAAAAATTAAGGATTTAAACTGATCTTCTGTTCGCATTCACTCACTTTGCACGGACCGACCGTCACTCGCAGTAACACATTTATGCAGGCTACAAATGCACACTTCACGAGATATTACAGCTGGATTTGATTAAATCTGCAAGGTTTGTGAAATTAAATGTTTATTAGATATTCAGAGATTTGTTTAAATGATGTAACTTAGATGCGCATTTGCTGAATGTTGACGGTAAATGATAAAGTATTTTAGCCTGATTGTTTGCATTTTCTGTTACAAATAATATAAAAGCAAACGCTTTACTTTTCGCATACTTTCTTTGTTTACCAGTTCTGTCTAACAAAGTATTAGATATATGACTGACAGAGATCGTGAACTAATGAAGACTTCCAAAGCATCGGCCAATCAGAAAAACGTATCGGCCGATGCCGATATTTTAAAAAATGCCGATATATCGGTCGACCACTACTAATTTTCTTTTTTTTTTTTGGTGTAATTTATTTATTTGTAAAGCATTCTTGCAATTTGCAGACTGTGGAACCAAATGTTTATTACTAAAGCATTATAACAAATGTAAGATATGACAGTGCAGGACTGGCACAACTGGTCATGACCTGGCCACAAAGTCTGGTCACCCTTCCACTATCCAACATTTGCATACAATTGGTCTTGAAACAGCTGTTAACCTCCTCTTATTCACACCCTATTCACTAAATAATCAATCAATGTATGTAATTATGTAGTAATTACAGACTTACCGTCCATTTTACAGATATAGTATTTCAAGAGTAATGTTTTCGTGCAAAAATATTGGTTATTCTCACCTCACATTTGTAGTTTAGCCAATAAAAAATCGAATTAAAAAATTCCACATACGCCTGCCCTGTACTTATCTTTATTGTTGAGCCCTGCATCATACTTTACAAGTTGAGTTACACAAAATCTGGTTTGAAACCTGTAACTAATATCTGCTGTTGCTCATGTTTATCTTTAGATGCGTGTGGGCTGACAGACCCAGCTCATGTGGAAAGCCTGCAGGAAAAAGCTCAGGTGGCCCTGACCGAGTACGAGCGCATGCAGTACCCCGGACAACCCCAGCGCTTTGGACGGCTCCTTCTGCGACTGCCCGCTCTGAGGGCGGTGCCCGCCAGCCTCATTTCTCAGCTCTTCTTCATGCGCCTTGTGGGGAAAACGCCTATTGAGACGCTCATCCGTGACATGCAGCTGTCTGGCAGCTCCATCAGTTGGCCGTATGCTCCAGGACAATAATCATGATCAGATGTGACCACAGAACCAGTCTGGAAGTCTTGGTCTGAATTTTTTTTCGTTTAAACCACACATTCACATCTGATTTTGACTGTATTACCTAATGCAACAGGGTCAACAGTAGTAGTACAGAATTCAGTAGTACATTGCAGATGGTGTGATTTATGTTCTGTGAACTGTTTTATGATGCCCAGAAGCGTTCTTTAAAATTACTTGAGAAATACTGGTTATCTGCCAGCCAAAGGTAAGATGTTAGGTACAGTTTAATCACCAGTTATTAGTTATTGCGTGGAAATTGGTTAAAACCCAAAACCACAAGCTCTGTCAGTTGGGTGTGAACATAAGTCATTTTGGACTGTCCCTGGAGGCACCAGGGAATAAAGTCCCACTCATTCTCTGTTCTGCCCTGTCCTTGCGTACCAGAAAGCCTGAAGGAGGAGGAAAGAGACACATTGACATCCAAAAACCCAAACAAATCAAACGGAAACAGTCAGAATTGGGACTTGAGCATTTGTTTTGCCAGTGATAACTACTTGGCATGTATTGTTTAGCTCTTTTACCCTATCAATGCTAATGCGTTTCTTTGAGGAGAGCTAGCTAGTGCAAAGATTGGATTATGTTTTGTGAAATTTCCATTTGACAGAATACTTGTGGACTGTATTTGTACGTTGCGTTAAGATACAAACTTATATCTTCAAGAATGATTCATATTTCTATAACGCACATTTGAGATAAATGACAGATGAAGTAGTCATGGCTTATTTCTTCTCCCCCAGATAGAAACCAGTTAACATTCTTCATGGAAGTGGTGTTCATCTACATGCATAAGACACTGCGTCTTCTTATACATGGTTTCCATTCTGCTTTTATTATTTCATATACTAACCAGTTTATGCTAAACTGGTGGTAATAGTCACATTATGTATTGTCGACCAAAAGAAATACCTCTACAGTCTGTTGAGACTCAAACGGACTCTGTCATTCACAGCTGTGTCAGTGTATTTCAAATGTATCTATACACTTGAGCTGCTCACTTTACACTAAAGAGGAGTGATTGGATCTATCTGTCTGTTATGTTTGTTACGAAGGCTGTTTTTGACAAGAAACTGGCACTTCCTGTTTTGTCTTTTGTGCTCTGGTGTGGCGTTTCACCGGTGACAGCATGTTGTACTGGCTCTAGTTGTGAGATGTAAGTTTTCTAGCCTTCTCATACATCTGAATGACTAATATTACCTCATATTTAGGCCTTGAAAAACATATCAGGCGGTCTAATATACATAAACGCATCAAAACGGCAACATGTACAGTTTTCATTTTAATATCTTTGTCTTTTTAAATACTTGTGTATGACAGCTTGATTAAACAAAAGTATCATACATTGAGTTGTGTACGTATGAGACTTTTTTGACTGTTACCTACAAAGGAAATGTTTCCTATTGGAGTTTTTATATTCAAATTGCAAAGATCATTGAATTTTACAGGAACATTGAAAATATTTACAATACCACTTTACAGACACCACTTACTCGGCTTATAAAAGCCTATACCGACAGTGATGTATACGTTGGACGTGCATACATGTGTACAGTTTCAAACAAAGAAATCCTGAGGATCAGAAACATTAGTCTTCTCTCTCCTTGTAAAGGCTCTGTCATAATTTTTCACTAGTTGCTTGATTTGACACAGTTCCTGCCTTAGCTTCTTACACCGGAGCTTCTTGGCCTGGTATTCTGGAGACTATGAGAGAGGATATGGGCATTAGGGATCTACAGACAAACACATAGCGACTAAAGGCCCGCTCACACCAAAGACGATAACTATAACAATAAAGATATAGTTCTAAAAATCTTTCAAAATATAAAAGAGTAGCGAAAAATGCCCACTAGTGTGGATGCTAATGTAGTTATCATTATAGTTAATCTTTATAGTTATTGTTCTTGGTGTGAACAGGCCTTAAAATCATTAGTACCTAATACTGATGTGTAAAAACTGATGTGTATTGAGAAATATTTTCCTTTACCCGCTTCAGATCCTTTAGTCGATTATATTCATCAGCTACAGCCTGTGATACAAAGACAAAAGATATGTGTTGTATTGAGTTTATATCATACTTCATACACCAAAAAGGAGTTTACACAGCAATGCCATTGAAGAACCTTAATTTATTTAGTCTTTATTAATGTTTTTTGTTGCCTACCTGGAACTTGGTGGACTCCTCATGGAGGGTGTCTAGCTCTCGGCTCAGTTTATTCATTTGATCACTGATATCATCCATTTCTGCACAAAGGTTCTTGTAAACGGCGAGGGTGACATCAAACTGTTTCTTGTACTGTCTGCGCTGTTCATCTGTTGAAATTTCTGAATAAGAGCTGTAGCATAAAAACAAAAATCAACAAGTAACTAGCTATCTTGCAAGCAGCAGTCTGCTCTTAGAAAAGTAATCGGGCTTTTCGAGCAGCACAACATGAAGGATAATTAAGAAGTATTCCTGATGGAAACTCACTCCTCCATCTCATATGTGTGTAATTCAGTGGCTGAATCTCCACCAGTGGTGTAGCCCGTCTCACAGAGAACATCCTCAACCTCGTACGTTTCCGGTTTCTCTTGCACTGAGCTGCTTTGCACCTCAACCTCCTCCACAGGGCTGGGGCTCATCCACCGATTCTGGTACAACGGCTCCGGGGAGCAGCTGTTCACGTTCTCAGAATACCTTTAAAACAAAATGCAATGGAAATAAAACTAGTGTGCATTTGTACTTTGTAAGATTTTCTACTCCTGAACATAAAAAGGAAAGCAGGCCGCACTCACACGTTGCTTTTGTATGCAGCCTCGCTGTAGACGCTCACTGTTCCCTCAGTGTAGGAGGTGAAGCTGTTCTCTGCTTTCAGGTGAGGGGAAGCCTCTGATAAAACCACAGTGGGGGTGTATTGAGTGTTTCGCTGGAACACACCATGTATAAGTGTTAATGGAGCCAGAGAATTTGAGTCTGAGACTAAAACTACAAAATGACCCAAGCAACAGGCGCCTACTGATGGGAAACGAGACCAGACCGGAGGACGATCAGAGATAACATCGCAGATGTCTCTGAACAATACTGTATCTTAAGAGACCACTCGAGAAGTTGTACATCACACAATACACCAAGACACTGTAAATCCATCACAACACAATTATCCCACCCTTGTGCACATGCATGACTTCCTCTAATGAAGCGTAATTATTATATCTTTCAGGAAACACTTGAGAGCTGTACATGGCACTGCCTGTTCAAAAATACCTGCGTATTGTCTTAACAACATGTGGCTGACAAACAACATCTGAGGTCATTTCTAGGAAAGTCACTGCATATTCCAAGAATTTGGAATAAACAAGTTTGGAAGCTCACCTCACAGTGAACCAAATAAAATAAACTCTTGGATCTGTAAGTGTCTTTTAATGAAAAATGTGTTATGTATACTATATGTATTTATTTCTCATAATTACACCAGATAGCAAGTTTAGGCCTACATTTAGATGAAAATATAACTTAATGGTCATGCTGTATCCATAAAATCTCTAAAAATCCATTAAATCTCTGCCTATATCAACCATATAGTAACTGGTAACGTGACTGTCGAGAGGTCACAATTTGCTTACTGACTTTTATTCAGTATTCATTATGAAGATAGTATCACAGCTATTCTCTTCTTCAGAATCATTGTAAATCAGTGAATAGTTAACACAAAAACAATGCAGATCATGTGATTGATTTTATTGTATGTGACTGGTGTCACAGGTTTAGGCTGCACAATATTATAAATAATATGGTCCACAAATTCAATTTGTTAAACCTTCTAAAAATATATTACCATAGTAAAAATAAATAAATGAATACATTTATAAATTAATGAATTAAAATAAAATATAACATTTGAAACTTTAAGAAGAATTCTGAAAAAAACATGGTTTCCACACAAAAATATTAAACTGCACAACTGTTTTTATCTGTGCTACTACTATGAGCAGCAAATCAGCATATTGCAATGATTTCTGAAGGATCATTTGCCGTCAGAGAAATAAACCACATTTTAAAATACATTACAATAAAAAAAGTAATTTTAAATTCTAATAATATTTCATAATATTACGGTTTTACTGTATTTTTAATCAAATAAGTGCATCCTTGGTGAGCATAAGCCTTGGTGACAGGTGTTTTTTTCCCGTGGCAATTTCTTATATCACAGATATTTAGCTGCCTATAGTAACATAAGGCATAAGACAATTAAATAATAACAAGTTTATGTTCAACTTTAAATTGTGAACAGATGATCCATACAAATACAGTCCACAGAATGTTTAGCAAAAAAACGTTTATAATACATTATATACCGCAGGCTTCATATTATTCACTGAGTGCGTCTTGTGAAATATACTCACCCAGTCTTGTGAATTCTGGGTCCTGTCTGTTTTGAGGATAGGTGGTTCCTCCCAGTAGATATTAGGTTTGCCATGATGCCATATTTTGCTTCGAGTCTTATAGGCAAAATAGGCTGCAACAGCCAGAGCAATCATGACAAACAGCCCACAAACCAGAGCCACAGCCTAAAATTCAGCAGAAACACTTGTTTATTAAAAGATTCATGTTGCATTCATGTGACACTACACTGCAAAAAAAAAAAAAAAAAAATTCTTACTTAATATTTTTGACTTGTTTCAGAGTACAATAGTTCAATAGTACATAGTTCCCCAAAAATGAAAATTCTGTCATTAATTACTCACCCTCATGTCGTTGCTATAAGTGTAAAAAAATCTCTGTTTAAGATTAATATAGTAAATAAAGTGGCAAATTATGTGTGTTTTTTTTGTGCCAACAAAGCACTGGTCGCTTCATAAAATTAAGGTTAAACCACTGGAGTCACATGGATTACTTTTATGTCTTTCTGGGGCTTGAAAATGGTAGTTGCATAGCTGTCAATGGAGGGTCTTACATGTTTGGAACGACATGAGGGTGAGTAATTACTGACAGAATATTCATTCTTGGGTGAACTATCCCTTTAAGCCTTGTTTTCTGAAATGAACGATCAAACTTAAGAGAGTTTATACTTAAAACAAGAAAAAATATCTGGCAATGGGGTAAAAAACAAACATAATTGAAAGCGAAAACAAGTTTTATTTTATTTTTTACCCCATTGGTAGATATTTGTTATTGTTTTAAGCACAGTCACTTCTTCTTTTTTCAGAAAAAAAGACTTATCAAGTAAATGTATATTAACTTTGTTTAGAAAATATTTTTTTCCCATTGTACAGTGAGAATTATGTCTTGTCAAACTGACCTCCTCAGGATCCATGAAGCAGTAGTGGTAGAGATATCGATTTAAGGATGGATATGCACCCGGGAAGCCTGTGCCGACTCCAGCGCTGATGCTGGGATTCCCTAATGAGGTCTGACACATCATCAGGATCGGGTTGTACAAGATGCTTTGTGAACTCTGGGCCATGGGATTCACCCCAATGACGAATATGATGTCTATAATACACTGAAGAATCGCCAGAACCACGTCCACCACAAAAACCGTCAGGTAAAACGTTTTTCCGCGCACACACCATAACTTTGAGAAACTAACCACTAAGATGGCCAAAGATATTACAAAATTAAGGGCTGCCATTGAGATCATGGCTGACTTTGCTGAGTAGGGTGTCATGTAAGAGCTTTGATAGCCATAGGTTCCTCCATAATACCCAGATCCCATGCCATAGCCCCCAGATCCAGCAACATAGGCCCCGATACTGCCCTCGTAGCCATGCATATCCCAAACTAGAGTGGAAGCAACACAGGCAAAAATAACAAAACAGAGCAGAGCCGTCAGTCCCTCCATAGTTTTCACGATGCCAGGGGGTGAGAACCATCTGTAGAAGTGCTGAGGGTTTCCCTCCATTTGAGGAGCATCAGGCACTGAAGAGAATAAGCCATACTCGCTCCTTTGAGAGTAGACACTTCTGGATGTGTACATATTTGATGGGGCAATGTAGTGTGGACTGTACTGAGGTGGGCTGTCATACTGCTGTGTTTCATACATGATTCATGAGAGAATCTGAAAAGAGAAAATTAGATCAAATTTAGATCATCTGGGTACAGCGTTCTGAAGCCAAAATTACTCTTTTTCAGACAAAGAGCTGCTGTCATTTATTGTTTTACATTTGAATCTCATAAAACTATGTGGACAAACAGCACTCACTCTTATAGTGGAATAAGAAGAGCAATTATTGTTAACTAAAAATATACAAATATTTGAATTGAAATAAAGGTAAAATCAAATCAAATATAAAAATGAAAAAGTTCAACTTAAACTTAAACAAAATTAGAAATGTTGCCTTGGCAACTACCTGAAATAAGTTTAAGTGGAAGTATGAAAATGATTAATATAGAAATAAGCACACACCAAATATTAAAATGTAAACTGAAAATATAAAAAATATAATTTATTAATAATAATAATAAAACCTATAATAGTATATAGTTTACTATATAAACAGTAAAATAACACTGAGACCACATTTCCTCTCGACACTTATCTGCTGCCCTCAATTTACACACACATATTCTCAATTATACATCTGATAATTTAATCCCATTTATAAAAGTAATGGTTCCGGTGTCATCACTTCTGATTGGTCAATACTGTGCTCCAATAAAACCCGCACTTGAGAAAGTGATATTGTTTTTATATAACAGTTCAATAAGTTGATATTTATCAAAATACATTGTAGACACAACATTGCTATTTACTTGGTCTATTTTGCGAAACTATTTCACAATGAGACAAAGCATTAACCTGTCTGTCTCTAGAGCTATTCACAGCCTTACAGAATCGGTAAGTGTTTTTTAAAAGAATTGTTTTAATGAATGATTCAGTGACTAACTCATAAAAACATTCACTTGTTCTGTTTCTGAATGAATCAGTGTGCTCGAAGGAATCATTTGAATGAATGATTCAATGACTCACTCATAAAGACAGTCACTTGTTCAATGTAACCTGCAAAAAGAGTCAATGAAAAATCTCTATCACTAATACACACACCGACAATCTAGAACACGCAAACAAAGACAAGTGATACAAACAGCTAAAAGTATACATTTTATCACTACATTTGTTCCCTGTGATTACAAATGTACAATTGTTAGCGCACAGCTTTACTCCTAGAGCTCCAGGAACATTTAAGATGGAACACACCTCTTTATAGCACAAACAACGTTCAGTTTTAAACATCACTCCCTTCATCAGGCTACTGCAATTCAGGCGAGATGCTCTGAATAATTCAGAGAAACAAAAACAGATGCAGTCATTGGGGTTTCATGTTGTAAGTTTTCTTCTTCACATTTCTGTTGCATCCCCCAAGAGCAATTTACAGCCATTATATGTGGATAAAAGAGGTGAGGAGTTGTACCGCTAACCGGAATATTTCTAATACCGTACCCTCTTAGTTAATTATGCTTTGGAGAGAGGGTGAGCTGCACACCTGTGGTAACTTGAAAAGAGTGAATAAATAATTCAAGAGCTGAAACTCAACCTAGCCAGCTTCATACAGCCTCACAGGTGCATGTTGAATGGGCAGCTATTCTAGAATAAAACATTTTTTTTTTTTTTTTTTTAAGAATGAGAAAGCTTTTTTTTTGCAACATTGAATATAACTGTACAACTTTCCTCCTGAAAATAAACAGCTATTATTTTAGATTGTTCCGATCATACAGCCGTCACAACATCTCATCGGTGACATCGGAAGATTCACAAAGTACTAGGAGATGTCAGTGTTTTTGTACTGACTACAATCCGTTAAAAAAAAAAGTCTATCATTTTGCAGTAAATAAATGTTGCATAAAACATTATGTAACTTACCGTAACACAACAGCCGCTGATCTTTTCCTCGTTTTCCTTAGTCCAGCTTTTCAAAGCCTGACAGTTTTTTTGTCAAGTATTGTTTAGTGTTTGAGCTTATCCGTTTGATGTGAATAGCTGTGACAGCTGCTGCTCATGGTGACTTGTGTGGAAGACCTGGCCCTGAAACTCTAAACCAGTTGCTACTGACACAATCAGTCTTATTGGCTCCTCAGTGGGTTGAAAGTTAAGGTGGATGAGAAGCTGAGTTAATGATTGTTAATCTTCTAAAGTGCTTTAAAGCAACAGTCTAAGTCTGATTTCAGGCCATTTTAGAATTTTAAGAGCCATAAACACAGTTAACAGTAAAAAAAATAAAATACAAAATATGATCTATGAAAGTAAAGTTTGTGGATTAGTTTAAGCCAAATGGCCTAATTTCTTTTTGAGTAATTTGTAAACATAATAATACAATAGCGGAATCTTAATGAATAAATACTATTTTAGTAATTTAGTATTTTAGTAATTGCTGTCCTTTGCAGTGGAATTTTATGGGTTCAAATGGAGTCAAGTGGAATCAAAATCACGAATCCTCATCTTGATGTGGCTTAGTTTTGCTTTTAGATATTCACACCGTTCCTTCTTCTCCAGAAAGTAGGGATCCTTGGGGAAGCACATAAGAAGTTAAAATTAACAACAATAAATTAGGCTACATCTCTTAATTTTGAAGCATTTTAAAGTCAAGAGTTGACTTACGTTCTTTTTTTGCTCATATGTTTTCAGTAAGCCATTGATTCTCTTTCTCTCCTAAATAAAACATCCACAAACAATTGAAACAACTTGTTTGACTTGTCTAATAAAAGGTAATACAGAGACAATCTAAATGACTCTAATATGACGTCTCACTCTCACCTCAGGGTTTCTCTTGTTATTGATGAGTCGGCTCATCATGGTGTCTAATTCCTGAAACTTCATTAATGTGGCTGTGATCTCTCTGTGCAGTTCCTTGTACTCCTGGTATTGGTCATTAAAGACTGCTTTGTATTGCTCTCTGTCTTCTATTGAATGAATTTCAGGATATTTTCTGTTTAAAAAGAAATGTAAAAATACAATAAAAAAATCATAGAATCTTGAGATTGAGACACATGGTGCATTTCAAAGTAAATACCCAGAAATAGCAGCATGAATCAAACAACACCGCATTACACATTATCCATAAAGTTGTTGAAAGCCCTTTCTAAGGTTGTCTACATAAACAGTTGGTTTAAACCATTTATAACACCTAATATACCAATCACCTGTTAGGTTTGTTTGTCCTAAATATATCATTTATTTTTATTAGACCAGAAATACACAATGAAGAATACTAACATTATAAAATCAGCGATGACTCTGGGTTTAGGAATGTGTCCAATTGGAATAGCTCCAGTTAAAATCTTTCGCTCTTCAGCTCTCTCTGAGACATAAGCCAGCCTGCTCTCATTCACAAAGCTTTGATCCATTTCATCTTTGAAGGAAATTTTCTTGGATCTAGTCGAGGAGCTGCCCATATTGGATGTGGATTTCAGAGTCTGCTGCTGTAACTGAAAGATAACAGCCATTGCAATTAGTACAACTTGTCTTGATAAGAATAGTGAGAATTTTGTGGAAACTGGAAATTTCATTTGTGTTAGTTAAAAGTGAAGCAAAAATCATTCTAATATGCTGATTTGCTGCTCAAGAAACATTTCCAATCATTATCAATGGTAAAAACATTTGTGCAGCTTAATATTTTTGTGGAAACTGCAATTAATTGCTTAGGGATTCTTTGATTTAAAAAAAAAAATAACGTTAAAAAAATAAATCTTTTGTAACTTTATAAATGTATTTTCATCAATTTAGTTTATTTATTTTTTCTTACTGACCCCACACTTTTGGGCAGTAATTTAAAATGTGCATTTACCTTGCTGTTCAGCTGGCTGGTCATGGCCTCCCTCTGACGGCGGGCGGCTTCATGATTCCACATTTTAAGACATGCCAGGAAGCTTATCAAGTACATGAGCATGTTAATAAATATAAACGAAGTCCCAGCCATCTGACCCCCCTCAACACGACACAGATTAGACAGGACTGGGTTGACGCCAACCGTCATGAAGCAAAGCCCACCACGATTCAAATCATTCACGTAGACGATTCCCGCTGCCATGTACAACAACGAAAGGACTAGGTTCATAACAGCCTCGGTGAGAGGCCACCATTTGGAATCCAGAAGGATCGTTCGGTAATACATTGTTAATCCCAAAACCATCAGGATAACGGTCAGCATCCATGAGAGTCCAACAATGACCAACACAAAGGTTGTCATGGGTCCAGTGTAACGGTATCCTTTCACATCAGTGAATCCATAATTTGGCCTGTAATAGTTGGACCACTCACTGTCTCTCTGAATATATGCACATACACAGGCAAGAACCATCCCACCGAATACAAGTTGAAGGCCAGCGAGCAGCCTTAAGAGGCCAGGCCAAGACTTCAGGTAGGAGTATTTTAACTGGTATACTTCTAACTTCTCAGCGTAGTACTCTGCCGGATGGATACTGGTCAGTTCAGATTCGAGGGTGTCATATGTGTACCCCACTGAACCTGGGGGGAAGTTTGGCTTGAGGTTACCAGAAAGCACATCTCGCGCATGCCAATGATTTCTGTCCAGTGATGGAGAAACAGGCGGACTACATCTTGTGCCGTTAGGTAGTATTTTAAATCCCCCTGAAGATGTTGAAAGTGATTCAGAATCAGCCTTCTTCCATTTCTTCAACACACCAGTCCATGGTTTCAGAAAGATGCTTTTTTTAGTCTTCTCAGCTTCCGTGTTTTCCTTCTGCTTGGCTGAACTGCCCTGATCATGAGAAGAGAAGCTTGAGTCCTCATTGTCATCATCATGAATTTTTGTAGGATCCTCCTCCGCATGTGCTCTGTTGAAATCTTCACTTTGAGAGGATGAGACGTCATCTGAATATAATCTACTGAGGTCCGTCATTTTGCTGTAGCTGGGAAGGAAATCAGGGTCTAGTAGGCTACACAGTCATCTTAGAGAACTCTATCAAACTAAGAACAAGACCTTTTTATTGTATGAATTATTATCAAAATTGTATGAATTATGAATAATAACATCATAACTTTTGCCTATGTTGTGTTTGAGAAGCTGGTGTAAGCATTTTAGTAATCCAGTCCAACAGCTTCACCAACTAGACTTTGCTGATGGTCTTTTCAGCAGGGCCGGTTAAAAGTTATATTTGCATTCAAAGTGCATCGATTACAGTCATAAACATACTCGTATAAACACAACAGTTTCCGATTATCAACTGTAAACTGAACTTTGCTCTCTTAAGCATTTGTTCTGTAAAACATCAGAAACATCAGACAAACAACAAGAAGAATGCTCACCTTGTTGTCAGTACAGTCTGATTTGCTGTTAGTGAGTATGGCTGTGTTAAAATGGCTTCAGAAAGTAAAAAGTGAGTCAGAGGCACTGTGGCAGGAAGCCGGAGAGGAGATTAAACATTAAACCTGCAGAGGCCAAGTCTGGTGACAGACACAGGCTGGCATTCAACTACCTGCTGCTGCCAATGAATATTTCCCCACAGACACTGGACTTGATAACATTCCTGAAACCCTCGAAGTTAATGATCCAAAACGACTGATATTATTTCACCGGAACATGTAACTACTTTAAAATGTATTAATCGTGTCGTGTTTTGCCATCGAGTCTTTTTCTGTTACTCAGCACCTAATCACTAGAGGGCAGTAGATGAGTAAGTATTGACCAGCATAGCTCCTCATGCATCAATGTCCGGCAAGCTACATTTTGCATTTTAAATAATGGATATGTTTTGTTACTTGTGTTGTCTGTAGAATAATTTCACTCCTCCCATATGAAGAAATGCATAAGCTGGCACAGTCTCAATGATAGTCAGCAGGAAAGGTTGCACAGTTATACAGATTTTTCATGTGAAGTTAAGCAGTCAGTCCATTTACTGTGGATGTTGCTTTGCATTTGGTTACTACAAGGTAACTGACTACATAAATTTGTAAGGGCTGTACAGTGTACACTCTTATCACTGTGGAGAAGGAATGCTTTATCAGTAATTTGTCCTTTAGCAGAAGAGATCATGAGGCCTGTGCTGCACAGGCTGTGCAAGATATTTGAATACTCCTGTACTGATTTCACGTTTTTAACCTCAAAAACATTAGATTAAGGCGTAATAAAATAGAAATACTCATTAGATTAATAATCAAACATCATGACATCTTGCATGTTTGAATTGGTAAAATATTGGTAATTCCAAATAAATATGGTAAAATGGCAAGTCGTTGAACAATTTAAATAGTTCAAAAGTTCATTAAAAAAATGTAAATACTCCATTTGTGCTCCTCAGATTGCCAGACTGGTGAAATCCTGTGGAGAACCAACTTTAGGGTCCCTTAAATGTCCTATTATGTGCTTAATGAGTTCCAGTACATATTGTCTCTCAAAGTCTTTATTTAGGTTACTGAGTCTTTCAACTTCTTGAAGAAACTTATGGACACCTGCCCTTTTTAAAAGGGGGCCTAGATGTTCTCCAGAGGGTTTTGCAAGTGTGGCAATCTAAGGAACCACAAATTACCAGAACACTTTAAATGGTATTCAGCTATAATTACATAAATTTGTAATAAATGTCAATGGTCGTCAATCTTTCTGTGTTCTGTCAATGATATGTGTCTGAATTCACCTTGGAAAATGGCCTAAGGGGCGTTTTTTTCCCAAGACAGTTGCCTGGGGTTTATCTTCAACCCTCTTCAATTAAATGTTTATGAGGTCCGCTCCACATGTTAATGGGCATATGTCTTACTCTCACATGCTGTCATTACCAACTTGATGTGGCCCATTTTCTTCTCTCTTCTGGGATTGCCTCGAATGTCCCTCTGCACTATTCTCACTCTTCAGAATCTAGGTCTGCCTCCTTCAGCACATCAAACACATCAAGAATATATATTTATTTTGATGAGGCGTGATGCATTGCATATTGACTTAATTGTTAAGACAGGACGTTCACACGTTATTTAAAAATAATTGTGCTGCAAGTACAGTATTTTAATTTCACTTATTCACAGAAGGCGGCTCTGGTAGGCTCCTTGTTTTCATCCTCATTTGAACATGTTCATCCAATATCACAGTGCCACAGTGTATTTCTCAAGAATTTGATGTTTATTATCTGAAACATGGGCAGATTTTGTCCACACTGTAGCTTCTTGGGCTATATGTTAACAAAATAAGAGGATCTCAACATACGAGACCAAGATAACCCATGCCTTTATGTACAGTCAACCTGGGAGGATACAAAATGCAAGTCTTCTCTCCGTATTTAATCATTCACAGGTATTTCACAAAGAAAGGCAATTAGGAAGAAAAAAAAAACAAGAAAGAAAATGAAATCATGTAATCCAATAAAATACGTTCTAGTGATTTTGTGTCCCATCTACTTGTGTATGCAATTTGACATCAGAAGACATCCGAGTCTTACTTCATAATTGGCACATTACAACATTTAGACTGTGTTGACAGTGAAAGAGAGAGAAAGGCATGAACAAGGGTCATGGTCATGTTGTTAAAAACCATGCAATCATCAAATTATTTTTGATTTTAATCAGGATCTAAATTGCACTTGATTTTGGTCATCAACAGCAGCTTAAATATTAAAGCAGTCTGTTCCTCTATTTTTGTCTACATTATGAATTGAATGTTACGACTGGCTTTCTCAGTTCTTCTTTAATCTTTGTTTTATCAAAATGTGCTAGAAGTGTCAAGAATATTTCAACAATGAAAGCTGTGAGAATTCTCCATCCTTTTTTCCCCCCATCATCCAAGTTTTCTTAGTTTAAATGTAGTCATTTTTGTTTGGCAAAATTGCTAATTTTAGGCATCGTTTGTACACAAGAACAGAGGGCTAGAAATACACAAGACCTAAACGCAGTATTGACAAGACTGAAACAGGAGTTGTGATGAAATGGTAAATTATGTAAATCTTTTTCTCATTTAATTATTTTTGAACAAATGTTTTACAAGCAAATCAGAAAAATCAAACATGCATTATCAGAAGTATTTTGGCAAGAATTTGGCTTCAGTCTCACAAGAAATGTGCACAAAGTCTGTGTCTTTGAGTGTGTAAATACATTTCCATGTGATCATAGGCTGTATAAAAACATAAGTTTTTTAATTAAATGTATTTAGACTTTGGTTAGGAATATAATGTCTTGCAGAATAAAAGTCTAATAAAAATCTAATGATTTATAAATATTAAATCAAGCACAAATAATTAATACCCCATTTTTGCCTGATCTTATGTAGGTTTCTCCAAACAATGTCTCAGATGTTGGAATAATAAAGTAAATTAAATAATAAAAATAAAGCTTTTCTAAAGCAAGTTGCAATGAGATGGTTTTTAGTCATTTACCATTGGTTCCAATCAGTGACAATTACATCGTCAAACACATAGCATTGTCAGTTGCTTTAAGGTTAAGCGATTATTTAAAACCATAGATGTCAGTAAAATACATGTGAACAGGAGAGACAGATTTTTAATCTAAGCTGCCTTAACGGTATATTTTGAAAAGTGCAAATGTGAGCCACAATAATGTCTTCCATCTCTTTCTGCTCTATCAGATGTATTCTCTCAGAGAAGATCTTCTCATGATTATAGAAAGATTCGTTTAGTGTTAATCCTATTTTTTACTGATTCATCAATCGCTTGGTCGAGAAATTCATTTAGGTAGAACAAGGAATGCATTTAACAAACATAACCACATTACTCCACCGCTATATTTGCAACTCTAAAAATACTATCCAACGTTAAAAAGGAATCTCTGTGTAAAAAATAAATGAAATAAAACGAAAAGAACACACACACACACACACACACACACATACACACACGTTTGAAAAACCATCCATAATCCATTCGTCACATTTGCACTGAAACATGCAAGGTTTAAATCTCAGTCCTGTCATACATTTGTGCCTACCACAGCATTAGCACTCAGTGCTGTCATTTCAAAATCAAAAATGCAGCCTTTCGGTAATGTGAAGACTTCTGGAAGCTCAGATTTCATTAAAATGAAGAAAGTGTTACCAGCTTGAGTAGAAACAATTACTTCTTGTATTCCTTCCTTCCTATATTTCTTTCATTTTTATCCTTCCTTCCTTTAATTCCTCTTTTCCTCCTCCCTTCCTTTCTGTCTTTCCTTGCTTTTCTAACTGATGGAAGTATTGAAAGGCTTTGGAAAATAAGAGAAGACTGCGACAAAGTTAATGGTATTTGTTAAGACAGACGAGTTAAATGTCTTCAAGAGGAATGTATCTGAAAAAGGAATGCAATGCTTGTGTTAACATTGTACAAAAACTCGCTCCAAAATTTGTAAATGGACAACCCTCCACAATCTATACATTCAGGCACTGAAAAAAATAACATGCCAATTTGTAACTAAAAAAGGTTAGTTGCACCCAATTTCCCTTAAAGGAGCAAGGGAACTGAATCCTTAAGGTTGGCATTCCTGCATTATTCTACTCAGTAGTAAGGTCATGTGCTCCTCCGTCTCCAGCTGAACGCTGAAGTGATCGCAAAGCACCCAGAAGCGCTCTCGGTGCTCATCCTGGCACAGATGTCTTATAGGACCAGTGAATCTCTTCTATGTGGGTGCGTCGCTCCTTTGTGGTCTACGTTGGTTTACCTTCCTGTGGACCCCATGATGTCGCAGTTTGAAGGACCAGTTTCCTGGACTCACTCTAGCTTCCTGAACTCAGTCTTGTAAATATATGAGGGCTTTACAAAAAAGCTAACTTGAACAGCCATACAATGGCTAAACATAAACCATATATCTACTATTTTTGAATTCTTCTCTACTTATTAATACGAGTCCTCAATCTCGGCTTGATCATCTTACGTGATTAAGTCTGAGACCTTTGGAAGCGGCGATGGGGTCCAGGTCAGCGTTAGCCACTGTCAGAGGAAGTGTGCGGGGCAGTGGAAGGGGAGCGCCGCCGTCTGGAGGGGGTCCAGGAGCGTTCTGAGCCCAGTGAAGCGGGGCGGAAGCGGTGCACGAAGCCATCCAGGAGGTCCTGCTGCTGCTGAGTTATGGCTTGGGAGATCAGACAGGGCAGAGCCTGCAGGCTGCCGGTGACTGCGTCCAGTTTGTCCTCCAGCGTGCCAATACGCTTGTCCAGCTCCTCACTGCGTTCCTGCAGCTCTGACACCAGGTCGTACATCACATTCTGTGTCTAAAAGAGAGCACAGAGAAAGAGTGAGATTGAATGAAATCAATCAATATCAACCCATCCATCCATTTATTCCTACATCTTATTTAGTTTAAATATTTGGTTTCCCTTTATTTTGATGGTCTCTTTTGAACATTCTGTTGACTATAATTAGCGTTGCACCTACATGTCTAGTACTAACTCTCATTAGAGTGTTAGTCAAGTATTAGTAGACTGGTAGGCTTAGAGTAAGTTGACATGTAGTTGCAAAGTTACTTATAGTCAGTAGAATGTCTGTTGGGGGACCACAACACAATAAAGTTAGCAGATATTAAGCAGACACTCTACTAATACTCTAATGAAAGATAGTTGACACATAGGTGCAACGTTACTTAGTCAACAGAATGTTCAAAAGGGACCATCAAAATAAAGTGTTAACATTTTATTTATTGATCTACCTTAGTACTACCCTTTAGAAGAAACTCGTATGTTTCCCAGAAACCAAAAACAGGTACAATTTACCCAGATCATCAAAAGTTTCATACAGCCACTGTTGGAAAGGGTTAAAATTTGCATAAGACACTGTAAAAGCAAATCATGAGCAGGACATGGAGGATTTCAGTGGGCCGTTTAACTGCTCAACGACAAACACGAACAACAACAACAAATTTCCAGGATGGCGATTCATCCAGGTAATGACACAGCATTAAGAATCAAGTATATGTAAACTTTTGAGAGAGTTATTTTTATAATTTAGCTATTATTTCCAAGGCTAGTGTATGCTGGTTTGATGCTGCACTAGCTGGTTGACTAGCATAGCCATTTACATTAACCCTTTGATGCGCAAGCTATGGATACCCCCTCTAATGCACAACATGGGTCTAAAAAGACCCGTATTCATTTCCTATGTTATTTCATGCATGGCTCGGCATTTTTTTGTTTCACCTTTTGAAATCACTTTATTTGAGCATTTTCTATTTCATGATCTATAAATTTCATGATTTATGAATATTCAAAATATCTTGTTTTCAATTATCACAAATTCATATTTTAATATTTCCTAGGTTTTGTGTAAATACATCAAGTTTACACACATGGGTCTAAAATGACCCATCTATGCAAACGTGATAAAACAAAAGAATAAAGAAAACTTTTTGTTAAAATAACCATTGTCACAGTTGTTTAGATCAACACATTTACTGTAACACTTGAAATATGTTTATTGGCCACTTTGTCACGCATAACACACATATAACCGATAACACTGAAATTGAACTGTAGTGTAGTGCAACTGTAGGGGGGATCTCCCCGCCACCAATGTGCAGCATCCACCCGGATGATGCGACAGCAGCCATAGTGCACCAGAACGCCACCACACGACAGCTTATGTGACCGATAGCATTGATTTATGACCACAAATAAAAATTAATATGGAGGTACTGCCCAGGTAAGGTTTCTGCCCAACAGCACCAATATAATACTTGTATATATAACTTTCTATCGCAACTTTTATTTTGTTGACCTAGCTAACATTAGATAAAATAAAATATGTCGACCGCAAGCTAGCTAATAGTATTGGACATGTTTCTCTTTTGCACTAGTAATGGATTTCAAGGTCAAGGTAACCTTAGCCTAAACGTTCAAATTTTAGGCTATATCTAGATGTCTTTCACAAAATATCAAATATTTTCTGTGACAAAAAATGTATTAAATAAAACTTACATGCATGAAATATACAAAAGCAGCCGTGTTGAATTTTGAAATGTGTGGCAGGTGAATAGTTTTCTGCAGTAAATATATTTATACTATTTATAAATATCAAAGGTTCCTATATGGGTCATTTTTGACCCATGTGTGTAAAATTGATGTAGAAATACAAAAACCGTGTTTGTTTATAAAGTAAGAAAGGGAAAATAAAAATAATGATTTGTGGAAATCAAAAACAAGATATTTAATGAATACCTGGATTAATAAATGATAAAATATATTTATTTCAAATATTCAGCAAAGAAACATGAATACGGGTCTTTTTAGACCCATGTTGCGCATTAGAAGGGTAGTGAAACAAAAACGATTTTTTTTCGAAAAGTAAGAAAGGAAAAATTTAAATAAGGATTTGTAATGATCTAAAACAAGTTAATTGAGGAATACCTGGAATACTGAATGATGAAATTAATTTCTTGCAAAGATATAGAAAATGAAAACTCAGTCGGGTCTATTTAGACCCATGTTGTGCATCAAAGGGTTAAATGAAATAAAAAACTACTTTTTCATTACTTTGAGTTTCATTTTTTAAGACGTTAACATGTTGGTATCTTTAAATACTGAAATACTGGAAATAAAAAAACCCGAAACTACAAAACTAAAACTTTACTGCAAACAGCTAAATTAAAAAGACAAATCGAATACTAAATAGAAGCAAAAAACAAACTTTTTTTTTTTTATTCAAAACAATGATAATCCAAACCAGGATCCCATCAAATATAGATAATATCTTTCATTTATCATTTATTTATTTCACATTTAATTAGATTTTCACATTATGAAGCCTTTACCGTACCTTCGCCAAGTCCACCAGAGTGTTGGCCTGGTCATTAAGTTTCCTCTGCTCCATTTTCACACTGCGGAGCCTGGGAGGAGGCAGGGTTATGGAGGGATGGGGGGGGGTTGGGAGGAGGGGGACGTTAGGGAAAAGTAACATATTCCTGTCAGGAAGACTTGATAAGGATGAGGGATAGAGAGAGAGTGGCCTGCATGCAAGCATTCACAGTCCTGTTTGCCATACCAGTCATGCAAACCCAATCTATGAAATGTAAAGAAGAGAAAACTCTTAACTTAACGTTCAAACATGACACATCTCCTTTTGCCCCTGCAGGCACGCGTCAACCATTCACAAAAAAAGCCATCCGAGAGCCTCGTTTGTGGATGAGGTCAAAGGAAGTGGCAAACAGCTGAGGTAGAGGTATATGTGACACCGCTGAAAATGCTTGTGAGAATGGCATTGCTTGCTGTGGGCTTGCTTCTGAACAAAATTTTAAAAGAATGTGTTAATGAAGTTTTTTTTATTTGTGCCATAGCAACTATGAAAGAGTACAGGGATGACTCTGACCATGAGGAGACATTGTAAGAAAGGCTGCCTTAATATCCTGCCCGTTAAGTGTCGTAATTAAAAGAATGCGAGTCTTCCGCTCTGATTTGTCATTCATTAGCTAAATGCCAAGCTTTGAAAAATTTTAGCTTTTTTTGTCTTTTCAAGTTTAAGGATTTATTTTGGAACATCCAAAAATAAAAATCTGGAGATGCAGGACATGGCCAGCATTCTTTCTAATGCAAAAACTCCATATCATCTTGCATCAAAGCCCTGGATGACCCTAAATGTCTTTCGCTTAAGTTAGTGACTGTGGTGGAAGGGAACACGGCATCAACCGAATACATGCTTTATCAATAGACACATTCTATAGAGGTTAAGTGCAAGACTATTTAATGAAAGTCAATCTTTAAAGGTGCTGTTTCTAAATGCCCTGAACATCCTGTCCCACATACTGTGCTTAGTTTTCCTCTGGACACACGAGGTGGGGCTATCAATGCAAGTTAATACAGAGATTTACGCTTTTGAATAATGGATTTGGTGCAAATGAACAAATCAACAGTTCCAAAGATGCTTCTCCTTCAGAAGGTCACATAAAACCATACAGCATTAAGTAATGTTGCATCTTTTTCATTCTAGACTTAGAATGGAGAGAAGCAATATAGGTAACCAAAATCGGCATTCAGCTTCCGACTCCATGCATATGAAACAGAGACAGGGAAAATGTGGGGAGAAAAACACAGAGGACAAAACTTACTTCTGAGCTCTGCAGTGATAGAGCAGAACGAAGACAAAACACAGTTTAAGTTTAGAAACCACAACATATACACAACATGTGAGCCATTACACTGCACTAACCATAACCACAAGGTAAGGGTTTGGGGAAGGAGAGGGGAGAAGGACAATCATCACATTACAAAGAATAACATGCTGACTGAGGCCCCATCCACACTACTGCGTTTTAGTTTAGAAACGGAGAATTAAAACGAATACGATCTCCGTCCACACCAGCGTTTTAGCTGCGTATTAGAATTGATCTCCGTCCACATTAAAACGACTGAAAACGCGGATCACGTGACCGGCATTCACCAACACTGGGCATGCGCGTGCCGATGTAAACACAACTTCATTGATAAAATTATCCCACCATGCTCTGGGTTAACCCCAAACCGACGCTCCATGTACGGTCAACGCCGCCGCTGCACACGGGAATTGTCACAGATCGCTCGAATAATAGCTTGACTTCGGCGCATGTAGGCAGTTATAGCATTGTAAAATGCAGAATTTACTTGTACAACAGCTGCTAGCAAAGATATACGCCATGACTGATGACACCCAATCATAGAGCCGAGCGTGAGCCTCTACTACGTCATCGTTTCTGAAGTCCTCCGTTTAGACCCGTCTACACTAAAACGCCCTCCGGACATTCAAAACGAAAAACGGATCGGCAGCGTTTCTAAACTTCTCCGTTTTGGGTCTCCGTTTTTGCCGTTTTAGTGTGGACGGGAGGTGCAAACGTAGCAAAAGGTCTCCGTTTTTAAACGAAAACGCAGTAGTGTGGACGGGGCCTGATTCTCCTGAGGTGGTTCAGAAATCAATCCTAATGTCTTTGACACTTGATTGACAAGAACTTATGATGCAATATGGGCATCAATGATTTTGGTAACTGGATTATCAAATACCTTCCGCTTCTTATTTATCATGACTTTAAAACATATACAACAGTTCCTTTAAAAAAAAAAGACACAAAACCAAAACATTCAAAACATGAAAGAGTAGTTTCTCGAATTAGTGAAGACAAACAAAACATACAGTTGAACAGCCATTATAAATGTATATCCCAAATGACCACATTTTAACTTTTAATCATACTGATCGTTCAAGGGACAATTAATCATAACTGCAGTTTATCATCAATAAATAGCCTGCAAAAAAATCTGAAGTGTATCAACGTTTTGCTTACTGGTGAATGGCCTGCAAGAACTTGCGCTGATGTTTGCGCACTTTGGCATGATCTATCTTCTTCACTAATTTTGTGTGTTTGTAGATGAGCCATGTTTCCCTGAGTACATTGGCAGCTGTGTTCTTTACCTGGGAGAAATAGATGAAAATTCAACATTACTACAGAATTGCAATAAATGACCATTATCATTATCATTTTCCAGAGAAACTTGGAAAGTAAAAAAAACAAAACAAAACAAAAACCATCAGGATTGGTTAAAATATTTGTTTTAATAAATACTCTTATCACTTACTCGTTTACAAAGTTGGGTGTCCATCATGAAATTGTGGACGTGTTTCTCAGCTTTTGTCAATTCTAACTTTCTGGCCACCACCGCGACTACAAGTGCAGTGCAACCAGCTCCCTACAGGAAGAGATCATTAATAGGATCTGTTTTCAAAATAAATATTAACACTCAAAATGAAAAAAAAAAAAAAAAAAAAAAGAATTTCACAAATGCAAACTAAATTCTATTTGAAATACTACATTTAAATATAATTCCTTTTTTAAAGACATACCATGATTCCTGTAAGAAGACAGACCCCTTTCCCACAGTATGTATGAGGGACCATATCTCCATATCCAATTGATAGGAAAGTTATGGAAATTAGCCACATAGCGCCAAGAAAGTTACTAGTGACTTCCTGTTTGTCATGATACCTAGAGTAGTAAGAACAGAATAGGCAGAGAATCTTAATCAGGCTGTGGAAAAAAAGGCTAAAAGTTTCATTATGAACATTTTGCCCATCTGCCAAATATATGTAGAAATAGAATTGGGTAAAATTAAATCTCAACATCAGTTCTTTGATTATTTTTCCCCCAATAAAGACAATGATGGAAAAACCCCCACAAACTAATAGAAAAATGACCAAAAGCAGTAAATACCGGACAACATCTAATATTATTTTTAATATTTACATTTTTGACCATACAACATTCTGTACCTTCCCAGAATCAAAACAAAATGCTCAATGTTCTGCTGCAATATATATAAAGTGAAAGCAATAATAAATGAAGGAATGAATGTATAAAGAAAGAAATAATACGATTCAAAGTGTTTAAACATTTATGAAAATTAATAATTCCTTTAAAACACAAATTATTTTGTGTTTTCAATAGGAAATTAAACAACCAGCCCAAATGGTCAAATAAATCCTCAGTTACTTTTCACTTTGCATATTAGCAACGCTTGACTGTGAAATGCAGTCCACAAGTCAGTGGAATGATAATCCAGATCAGCTATAGAAATGTTTAAAAATCCTCCGAGACTAATTCACATGACCTAACTTATTGGTCCCAGACTAGACTATTGCTAGCAGCTCATCGACATATCTGCAGGAGGTTGAACTTTCACCGGCCTGTCAAAGAGGAGCTAAGCACAGGTCAGAAGACATTTATCTGCATTTAACACAATGGGAACACTTTTGATGAGGAATAACAAAACAAGGCCCAGGCTCTTCAACGGTCATATTGAGTGAACGAAAGTGACCCACAATATTAATTCAGTGTCTAATCAAACACATTTATTACATTAAAAAAAGTTAAATGTTCCTCAATATCCCATACTCAAAACACAAGAGATGACATGCCACCATCAGTTGCACCTGTCTACAGCACAATCCAACTCTGTAGTCATGCTCTAAGAGCAGGAGCATTGTAATTGTTTTGTTATTGTTCAATGTAATGGGAGAGCCCCATTATCACATGCGAAAAAGCATAGTTACCATGCAGGCATTTTTAAGAAGAAATCCACATCCTGCATGCTGAATAAGCCAGTATATTGAGAGCAAAAATGCAAACCCTATAATAAAACACAGTATATGCAAGTTGATCACAGTATATGAAAGTTGTTAAAAATTTGTTCTAGTGAGGGATTATTCACAGCAATTAGGATGTCTGCCCATGTGCTACATAACTATTGTAAAACAACGCACAGTGCTGGCACAAATCATTCTCATGGGTTTAGTCATTTTCAATGATCTTTTTTGAAGCTGGTGTCAGATCTCAGAGGTGAACAAGTCCTTGGCATACCAGATTTTACTCTCGAAGAGCTCTGGTAAAGACCCTCTTTTACATCAGACTCGCATTCTACAATTATCTCATTAATATGCTTGCTCTTAGAAATCTATTAGATGCTAATAATTCACATGGCACAATTTTGGGAAGAGGTTGTATCCTGTGAGGTCTGTTTGCACACATGAACACATGCAATGCAAATCTGATCGTGACTATGCACACTGTCTTCATCATTAGCTTGCCTTTGTTTTGACAGTGAACAAGTGGATTAACATTTCCCTCAATGCTGGTAATCGAAAGCAAAAAGCTACATACTGGCCTTCTAAAGCTCTCAATATACTGTATGCAATACTGGCATAAAATGGAGAAGAGCTGGCACCACCTTCAACTTAGATCAAGAACTCTATCTGAAAAAATATGTTTCCCCAAATACCCCAGTCATATCCCGATTTCACATAAAAACCCATACAGTTGTTTCGTAGAAAAATTCACAGAACCCAGCAATCCGTACCTTTAATGACTCGTACCCTGACAGCATGGTTAAAGGATGCAATGATGGAGCAAATATAAAGCCATTTAAACGTATTTACCTATGTTAACAGGGGATGTACGAATACTGATTTTTGTGTTATGGACAATAATAAAATTCTGTAAGACGTTTTAAATGCTACATGTGAATTTAGGCATCACATCATTAAAATGCACAGCATGAAAAATGGATATTCAATTTAAAAATTAAATAAATTAGTAATTATTATTGTTTTTACAGAAAATTTAAGCGAGCATTAGATGATGGACATCTAAGGGAAATGAGTATGTACAATGAAATATTCAATATATCTTGATTCAAAAATAATAATAATGAAAAACACTTACATCGGTTGATAACCAATACAATACCAATATATTGTGCAAAATCTAAAAATAAAAATAGGGGAAATGAGTATGCACAATTAAATATTCAATATAACCTGAAACAAATACATTAAAAATATAAACTACCAACATCCGTTGATAACCGATATGGTACCGATATAGTTCGAAATCTAAAAATGAAAAAATAGGGTAAATAAGTATGCATAAATAAACATTCAATATAGACAGAATAAATGAAAAAAAGCACTAACGTCGGTTGATAACCGATATTGTACCGATTGTGCATTCCTAATGTTAATTACGTCTCACACAGAGGCAACGCCCAACAGATATAATCCCATAGTTTAGGCCCCTATTCCCTTACATAGTAGTTCACTTCATTGTCTGCTCACACTGCAAGTTACAGGCCTCAGTGTGACAATAAAACCAGACAAGGTTCAGACACAATATTACAGTTCTCCGGAGGAAGGTAAGATGCTTTGGGCACAAGTAAAACAGTCATTAGGACACGTTTCGTAGAAACAGTCCTTTTAGCACTAACTAAACATACGCTGTCAGTGAGCTGGTGTTTATTCATCCATCCTTAACACAACACTCCAGTAACTGTGTGCACTAAAGACAGCATACATGGAGATATTGTGGAGCATCTTGACAAAATGGAAGGCATTGTACTATAATGCACCTTCTCATATGCTCTATTTCCTATCCAAGAATATCATGCTTTTCTGCTATAGTACTTTCAGCTACACGAAAACATTATCGTTTGAGAAGGAGATAAAGATGGAATGATGCATGGAATTGTACGTACATTTGGGGAAAGGGCCTAAGAGAAGGAAACTGCCTGACTCATGCAAAATATTCAGGGAAAAGTGGGCAGGGAGGGGGCGGAAACAGGACCAAGAGATGTGAAGCGATGAACAGGAGGTGCATGAATTCAAGTGTGAATGAATGATAAGCCAACGTTGCAAATAGCAGCAATGTTCCTCCAATGTCCCAACCCTTCCTTCATTTTCCCATCCCTCCCATTCCAGACGGACTCCGTGCTCGTCCAGTCTCACACCGTTCTGCCCTTTGGGCTGGCCAGTGTGCTTAGAGAAAAGAAAAAAGTGCAGTAAAAGGCCCAATTTAGCAGCACTTTGGAGAAACAAGCGCCTCTTTTGAATGACAACAGAGCAGTAAACATGAAGACTACCATGCTGTTTCATAGTTTACCAAAAGTGGGCACCCAATAGTCTAGCATTCCAAAACCTTGCTATCTCTTGTCTCTGAGGAGACTGTGCTAGAATGGACAGCAACATTTCACCTTTATGTGCTCAATTCGTCATCAATAAGCGGCCCAGTGTTGTTCAACTGCTTGCACACATTTTCCGTGTGGAAATCGTTTAGATTTAAGCTAAACAAATGTGTGATCAAACGTTTGACCTGACCTGTTATAGCAACCTACATTTGAACACTACAGAGATGCAAAGAAAAACACATGTATCAGGTAAAATTCAAAGGTTTGTTTCACAGGTTTTGCTGAAGCTCTCTTTTGTGCTGGGGCGTATTACAGTTCAATAACAGCTGCTGAAGGAATAATCGGGGGGAAAAAGAGTTGCCCTCAGGCCTGTTTGTAAAGGTGATTTGAAGGAGCTGCTCCATTTTAACACAAACTCCCTCCTCCTCCTGAGCACTTTACAAAGAGACGCTTGATTCACAGTGCTGCGCAAATCATAGCTTTCGAAACCATTAGTGCATTTGCTATCAACAAACTTCTCCTTTGCGGATGGTGCCACATTCACACGTTTTTTTCCCCTTTGTTTTTACCAATAAATTAATCTATTCGAGTTTTTATTTTTCGGTCAGAGCTGCTGAATCCCACCCCCTCCCCCCTCTTAGAGCAGCAGTGGCACCAGCTCAATGAACAATGATAGGTTTTCCACGGCTAGAGAACGAGGACTCACATGGCATCCCTATGGAGCAGCATAGAGGGGAAATAGAAAGTACAACAGTGAATTATAGTCACACACACACACTCGAAACCTCCCATTCGCTCATACAGACACGCACACGCAACGCAAATTACTCACGCAAGAAAAAACCAGAGTGTGGGCAGCATCGTGTCGTGCATTGCAGCCGATGAGACTGGGGTGCAGAGTGCTGGGTAGTGGTATGGTGTAACATCAAAACCTTCACCTCGTTTACCACTCCAAACTCTTCATTGTTGCCTGTTCAGTCTCTTGTAAACCCACCAAAGTAAAATATAGCCAGAGACTGATCCTTTTGTGAACCACCTTTCAGAGTGAACCATCTTTCCGCCACAGAGATGAGAGTTACTGACACCTCTTCTTGTAATCTCTTTTCTTTTGCAAGGCATTTCTTTGGCTTAGATGGAACAACTGTGTTTATTAGGGCTATTAGGGCTGGTTGTCAATACATATTTCTCAGTTCAGATCAATTTTGATTCACAAGCACTCAATGCAATTCAGTTTGATAACGAGTTTGATTCTTTTTCATTTGATCGCGATTCATTTGGGGATATATCTTTTAATAATTTACATTTCGCTACTACATGTTTTTGATTCACTCAAAATAATTGAGAGTCATTTGTTTGTGAATTGAACTATACTGTATATTATTGCAGTCCATCTCACGGTACACAGCCTTTTTAACACATTACATTCACTGCAAACTGGTAAAATATAACTTTCTTTGTTGGGGCTTAGAGTAAAATACCTATCAATGGTTTTTAAGAAACAATATCATGATTGTTCAAATGAAGATCGCAGTTAATCTGAAAATAAATACTTTTTACCCAGCCCTATTATATAAGCATACTTAATTTCTAGTGCCTCATTCACACTGACAGCTTTTGAAAATCTGACCACAAATTAAATGTTAAAAATGTCAGTTTTCTTGCTGCAGGGGAAAACGTTTGTATATTATTTGCTGCAGTGCATAAATGCGTCATATCATGAACAAGACGAAAGATTATCAGTGTATGAATCTATGAATCAAACTAACGTAGAATGACGTCAAGTTCTGGATCGGTTTTCCTCACATGATTTTTTATTGTATTGCTGCACGTGGGTAAATACAGATCATATAGATCAGTGAAATCCCTCACAGTAATAGTAACGTCTTGCCTATAGTCGACTACAGCATCTCACAGGAGATGAATCAAGTGCATCTCCGCTGTACTCCTATTGGTTATCACCGCATTGCATCACCTCATTTCGTTTGCATGGAATAAACATTACTTAACTTTGTCATATCGCTGGAGATTTGCAGTTCTCACCGAAAACCAATAACTTACGGTTGGTTTGTCGTTGTGAGTTGCTGGCGGTGTGAATGGGGCTTAAAGAAGTTTCTGCACAGCCCTATTTATTCAGATAGGTTTGAAAGATTAATTCTGGTTAATTTAATTCTGGTACAAGGCATGTGTTGGAGAGGTAAAGGTGAGGAGAAGCAGGTAACGCAGGCAGGAATGGCAAAGACAGTACAGATAAAACAGTTAATGATCATTGTCTTTTGAATCTAACCCATTCATCATCACAGTGCTGCTTTAGCCCAACAAGGCTGTGTATGTCCATTTCCTAATGTGCCTTAATATGTCGAAATCTACACTGCCTCATGGGATGAGATCATGATGATGCAGTTTTTTGAAGTGGGTATCCTCGAGGCTCCTCAAAATTACCAAAACAAACCATTCCGCAAACAAACAATTAAGCAGTCATGAATTATTTAACAATTGCTAATACAGCTTACAAAACATGGACTGGGATTTGTGGTGCAATCGCAGAGCTGATGGGAGAAAAGCTCTTCATACAGGCAGAGTGAGGCTGTTGGAAATGCTCCTTTAGGGAATGAGTGAGTGGGAGATGCAGAGAGAAGAAGAGCGAAAGACAGAAAAAGAGCGAGAACGAGTGGAGGGGAGGGGTGTAGCTGTGTAGCTTGGGATCACAATCGCTGTGGTGCCATACCTCTCACAAACCCGAACGGTCCAGGCCGCGATGATCCAGGAGGAGATGCTGAAGACCAGCAGCACGGTGCCCGGGCAGATGGTCATGAGGGTCTTCATGACGAAGCGTGTGTTGAAGTTGATCTTGTTGAGGGCACCTATACTTCGCGAGGATGCGTCGGTGAAGAGCTTGCTATGAAGGAGCATGACCCGGCCAATCAGGTAGAGGCGGAGGAACATCGGGATGGAAAGAATGATGTCTACGTCGGCATCGGCCACAGAGGGCACGTAGGTGAAAGCCAGCCGGGCCGTCCATGTGAACACATACTGGCCCGGGATCGGGTGAATGGCACACACCAGCAGCTCCAGGACAATAAAGAAGATGCGCTCATATGTCATGGCTATCCTCCAGTCATCCGCCCCATTGTCCACCATGAACAGCTGCAGGGAACAGGTGAAGAACAGGGTGTATTAGCTGGCAGAGAAGTCGAGAGGAACTCTCTGTTCCTCTGGAAAACACATATAAGTGGATGTAATGTGATGACAAAGGCGACGTGTGCCATTTTTTCAATGGTAAAAAACGTATTCCAGCTTGGTACGAAGAGAAAACTATCAAACCGGGCTGATTCCCTCAAAAAGTGTAAACACTGTAAAAAAGGAATTGTAAAATAAAGGCAACATGATGGATTAAGAGTTGTGTCAGACTACTTCATTTATTAAATTTTAATTTATCTAAATGCAAAATCTTGTTCAGCCCATAAACTCTTGTCAAAGCCAGGGTTATTATAGTTAACTAAAACTAAAACCATATAGAATCTGTTACTTCAGATAAAATATACAGTAGTGCAAAAGTCTTAGGCAAGTTACTATTTTTACACCCCAAAAAATAGTTTTAAGCCAGTTATTTCGATCTTCTGCTGTAGTGTCAAGGAGTCTGACAACAGCCGGTCTGCTCTACACGGAGATCTGATCTTACCATCATCGAGTCCATCTGGGCTTACATGAAGAAACAGAAAAAACTGAGACTAAATCCAGAAGAACTGCAGAAACCTACCTGCAACGCTTCAGTACTATGAAAAGTTTTAGGTACTTGTGTAAAAATGCAGTAAAGTGAGGATGCTTTCAAAAATAATGTCATGAATAGATTTTATTTATCTATTAACTAAATCAAATCAATATTTGGTCTGACCACCCTTTGCGTTTGAAACAGCTTTTTTTTCCTAGGCACACTTGCACAGGTAGATTTGCAGGCAGGTTTCTTCAAGCGTCTTGGAGACATTGCCGCAGTTCTTCTGGATTTATTCTGTCTCAGTTTTTCTGCTTCTTGATGTAAATCAAAGACCGACTCGATGATGGTGAGATCAGATCTCCATGTGGATCATACCGGCTGCTGTCAGACTTCTTGTGCATACAAAAAAATCTCACTAGATTACTACAATTAATAGCAAAAGGAATGTTTGGAAATGTAAACTAATATTTCCTACTACAGCAAAAGTTACAAGTAACTGGCTTAAAACCATTTTTTGGGGTGAAAATAATAACGCGTCCAAGACTTTTGCACAGTACTGTGCATTAACTGAAATAAAATAAAACCCTTTTATTTCAGCTAGTTTCCAAGGCAACATTTATCATTTTACTGAAACAACTAAAAGTAAAACTAATAAAAATGACACAACACATAACACAATTACTAAAACTTTACCTAAAACTAGAAAATATAGCCTAAAAATAAAAACAACTAAATATTAATAAATCCTATAATAGCGTCTCAATTCTAAAATAAAAACAATGGATTTCAGGTCCATAAAAAATGTAATAAGTAACATTTTTGTTACAAAGATAAATAGTAATGACTAAATCAACAACCGGATAAAAATCAGCATAAACAGCAAAACAATTATACTATAACAGCAACAATAAAATGTAGCCATGCTGAAATGTCCAGATCAATTCAATGTCATTAATTTGGGGGCGGGACTATCGGTATGGCCAGCCAATGGCAGATGGGGGGAGTGTTTTAGAAGCCTCCTTGAAAATGTTTTTGAATTCTGTTTGTTGATGTTAGTGGCACAAATGTACACATTTTACCATTTCATGTACAATGATAGAATTTGAATTAATAGATCATTCAAATACAAGACAATCAAGTTTTTATTCTTTATAATCAAGAACTAACCTGTATTTCCCGAGCGTGGTACATTATTATAAGACCAAGCAAAATAACAGTGGAAAGGCTGATAAGGCATTTCAGTGCAAATGAATATGAAGATTCCTGCAGCAAGAGAAACAACACACACCATTAGTATGACCATACATAACCACAGTCTTGCAGCTTATGCTAAAGTTATGAAATCATGCTTACTAAATGAAACATTTTTGGATGAATAGATGCTGTCTAAACCATCTGCGTCACAAAATACACTGCATTGCTTCACCCTGGAGGAGTTAATCCCCACTGTGTCAGGAAAAAAATCACTTTCCATAATATTCCCCATGGCAACAAATGAACCTCATGCATCTGGGAGCCAAAACATCTGATTAGGTTTGATATTAGGTTTACTTTCGGCATAAACTCCCTATGACATACAGTACATGGACAATCACACTATGCACGTGGGTGTATTTGATGTGAATACTTGAACATGTTTTTCGGCACTGTCCTGTCATCTCAGCTTAAATGTGTTGGTGGGAGTGAGGGACTTGTTAGTTGAAATGTTAGTGTTGTACAAAAAAATGAGGATTACAGATCAGCATGTTTCAGAGACTGATAATAAACGGTAAGGTATAATGTAGTTCAGTATATGAAATACCCATTTAGCCCATCCAAGCATATCAGTCAATATTGAAATACAGTAAACCAGTATTTTTTTTGTTAAACTTAAAAGCTAGTCATTTTTTGTTAGTTAAATTAGTTTTTTAGCTTACTTTGATGTTATGGTAGGTACAAAACTGCCTATTCCTCTGTAACATCTGTCATGTCAAAATAATTCTATTCTAAATATACAAAAAATGATTGACTTTTTTTTTTTAAAGAAACTAGCTGTATGCAAAGATTTACAAATCAAAATTTTATGTTCTGTCAGAATGAGGAAGTGAGGAAAGTGTGCATAATTTATATAACCACAGAAAAGCAATTAAAAGATTCAATTTTAACAGTGAAATTAGACTCCCTTCTCCCTTACCCCTTCTAATTTAACCCCAGGTCCCAATGGTCCCTCTACGGAAAAATTAGGTCTGAAATTGTTATAAATTTCCCGTGTGACAAATTACACAGTAAACTAATTATTGCACCTGTTGGTCACCGGAAGGTTTTTTTTCAAAGGTCAGATTCCTAACAAACACATCTGGAGTGACTTTCTTTCCTGCTGACATTCACATGCCATTGTTGCTCGCTTTTCTTTTTCTTTTCTTTTCGTGCAAGATCAAGCCATGTGATAATTCGGTTAATTCAGCTGAATGTGACAGTAGCAGTGTAGCAGTTCTCTCCCACATGGCTAGAAATAGCACAACCATTACAAAATCCACATCTCAAGGGAACTGAGTGGTCACAGTACCAAACACCTCATTTTGTGGACCCTGCATTAAGAATCGCTTTGGGAGTTGTCTGTAATAGGCCTACCTCAAAGTTTATAGCATTTCAGCCCTCCAGTACTGCTTGTGAAAAAGACTACAAAACAGTAAGGAGATGAGAAGAGCTACATCCCAGAGTAGATCGATGTGGTTTAGAGGACAAATATTAATATGATATACACTACCGTTCAAAAGTTTGGGGTCGGTACGATTTTAAATACTTTTAAAAGAATTCTCTTCTGCTAACCATGGCTGCGCTTATTTGATTAAAAATACAACAAAAATCAGTTATAGTATTAAATATTATTCCAGTGTAAATCAGCTGTTTTCTGTGTGAATATATAGTAAAGTGTAATTTATTCCTGTGATCAAAGCTGAATTTTCAGCATCACCAGTGTCAGTGTCTTCAGTGTCAAATGATCCTTCACAAATCAGTATAATATGAGGATTTGATGCTCAAGAAACATTTATTATTATTATCAATGTTGAAACAGTTGTTGGTCTGTCAGTTGTACAGTTTTTTTTTTTTTTTTTTAGGATTCTTTGATGAATAGGAAGTTCAAAAGAACAGCATTTGTTTGAAATAGAATCTTTTGTAACATTATAAATGTCTTTACTGTCCTTGATAAATAAAAGTATTGATTTCTTTCCTCCAAAAAATAAAAAAAATAAAAAAATAAAATTCTCACTGACCCCAAACTTTTGAACGATAGTGTATGTATGTACTACAATGGTGGCTATTTATGCCAAAGGTTATGAGGGATGACATGAGGAATAGTGGGCTCCAAAGGACTGAGACCACTAGTGAAAATTTTACATGTTAAACTATTAAGATTTCTTTATTAAAAAATCTATTATCAGCATAATCATTTGCTTGAAAATTTTAATTGAAAAATTATCATGAATTCCAGAATGTCTTTTTGTTTGTCCTTTTTGCTGTATTGACAGCAGCGCTCAAGTTGATCAATTTCACAAATGTATTCATTTTTTTAATGTACGAATGTATTAGTGACCTATACATAGTGCAGAAAATTACTTATTACTTATTTATTTGAGATTTTTCTAAAATTTCTGTTTATTTTTAGGTTGAGATTTTTAATCCCAGAATTTCACTGTGGTCTCAACCATTTGGATCCCACTGCTTATCATGTGCATATTTTGCATATGTATGGGGCAACATGAAAAGAGGAAGCACCTACCTTAGTGTAAACCCCCCAGGATAGTTCAGTCTCAGTTACCATGACAACGATCCCAAACATACCGAATATTAGGGCATAGTCACTTAGCCGCTTGCGCTTCTCAAAAAGTGCCCTCCTGTGGCCCAACTTGTAGCCAATATCTTTATTTTTTTTCTGTGGTGCGTTGCCACTCTCTCGGACCAGGCTCTCATTGGACGCCTTGCTGGGGTCCTCGCCACCTCCCTTGGAGACGACCACTTCCAGGCCGGAGCTGTGAAGAGTCTGGAGCGGCTGGGTCTCAGAGTCATGCTCTGCTAGGTTGCGTCGTGACGCCGCCAGGCTGCCCAGTGGTCTTACCACTCCTCCATTGTACTTGCAGCTGTTCATGGCTATCTGAGGGAGTGAGTGACTGCTCTCGGAGAGGGAGGGCTTGGATCCAGCATGGCTCAGCTTAGTTCGCTCAGCATGTGCCTGTCAGCAAAAATCAAATACAGACAAATAGGTGTCAGCAGCATATACACTGAAACCCAGCATTAATCTACTCTATTGGCCCTGCTCCATGTGTGTCCCAAGGTTCATTTCATCAGAAACCTACTGTAGCATCTTCACACCTCAGTGTATCACAATGACAACGATTCCATTTACACCTGGTCACATAAATGTGTTTTTGCAAAACGGATATAAATCCGATCTTCAATTACCGCGCTATATCCAGATTTAATTGAGTGCACGTCACCGAAAGTAACAGATATATGCTGCATTTTATTGATCATCAGCTAATTTCTAAATCAAAGACGGCAATAAGAGAGAGCGGCAACAGCCCTGGTAAGATCATTTTGTTTCTTTACTTTTAATGAAGCTGATTGTGCGTTAAGCGTCTGCGACTTACTTTCACTTTTGCGATAGTTTGCACGTTGGCTTGAGGAATAAACGCTCAGCTGCTCATCTGCGGTAATGCGTGTTGCAGTAGCGTGTCATATCTGACTATAACATGACATATAGCCTATATAACACGCTCTCACACGTTTATTTTTTAGAATTTTTGGGAGGAGTAAAATTAACATATGTGGTTTCAACAACCAGATGCATTTACACTTGCCCAGTTTCGTCTGGAATGCGGCCGTTTCGGGGGGCATTTACACCTGGTCTTTTCACGATCGGATAGCTATCCGATCACAGAAAACGCATGAAGTGGCCAGGTGTAAACAGCCCCTAAATGTAATTTGGACAGTAAACAAGTATAAATCGATACACTTTAATATAGTTGTGTGTGAATGATCTAATTTTATAATGAGCAAACTGTGAGGTCTGATAAACTGTCTACTGCTCTGACAATATGGATAAACAAATAAAAAAAGACAGTATTTCTTTTTAGTTCAGCCCTCTGAAGGAATACAATGGCAGAAATTACCCACACAGAACAGATGTGCAGCAATCGTGATGGTTAGCGGCTAAATATCCCAATATGGAGAGGTATAATGACGTTTGGATGTTTCACTGTTAGCCTGGAGTGAGGAGTGGGCTTTGTGAAAGCTGTGGTACTGGTGTTCTCTCACACTCCTGGATCCATGTTTCTCTCACAGGTGAGCAAACAGTGGAAAATATAGTGGAGCTGAAATTGGAATACTCGCAATTAGGCCCGTTAAGATCATGAATTTTTATTGTATTTGTATATTTTCGGCGTCTTGGAATGATATAATTAAATTTTTAAGGTAATATATAAATATATATTTCTTCTTGGTCCACTTTATATTCACACTGGAGCCCAGCAAACATATAATATCTGTGTGAAACTGTAAAGACCAACTTTACACGAATGCTGGCATTTCTTAACACGCTTAAATTTACTTTATTTGAATGACAAAATGTGACTAAAATTTAAACTGTAAAATTATCACAGTTATCCAGCCATCTCAAATAATTGCGATTAATAATTAACTTATATACTTCTTGTTTAGAACAGTTTTATAAAAGCAATTAGGGCTGCACAGATATAAAAATTTTGGCCGATATTATAATTATTTTAATATTATGACAGATTAGGCAACTATGGAAGCCCGTTTCTATGGAAGCCCGTTTCCACCACAGTTGAGTAAAAAAATATAATTCTCTAAGTCATAATAATGAGAAACTTTCTCATAATTATGACATAAGTATCTCATAATAATGAGAAATTTTCTCATAATAATGACTTAAAGGAACACGCCAACTTTTTGGGACTTTAGCTTATCGGATCGTATGGGGTTCGATTTTCTGCATTTTTCGCATCCGTAGCAAGCAGTTGGAATGGTGTTTTGACAATTCAGAGCCACCGAATCACGGTGTTAAGTCATTATTACGAGAAAGTTTGTCATTATTATGAGAAAGTTTCTCATTTTTACGCGATGTTAAGTCATTATTACGAGAAAGTTTTTCATTATTATGAGAAAGTTTCTCATTATTACGAGAAAGTTTTTCATTATTATGAGAAAGTTTCTCATTATTACGCGATGTTAAGTCATAATTACGAGATGTTAAGTCATTACGAGAAAGTTTCTCATTATTATGACTTACATAATTATATTTTTACTCAACATATGGCGGAAACGTATGGATGATGGAAAATCTAAAATAAAAAATTGAGGAAATAAGCATGAACTAAATATTCAGTATTGGTCAATACTGATAAATAATAATATTGATAATTTAAAAAAGGTCTTCATGCTCATGTACCGAAAATATGAGAAAAAACTAGAAAATACTTGAAAATTGTACACAGATTTCCAGATGAAGCGTTCTTTAACAGATTTGGAAAGGTGTGCTGTCTTATCATTCCTCCATCTATTTGAAATCCATGAATCACCCTTCTGTGTTGCTGCTTGTTCATACACAAAAATACAAATGAATATTGACCAGCGGATGTCGCTAGTGTGGCACTCCCTTCTGCTCCACTGCTTTGAGCATGAGTAGAAGTGCGAGAAAATAAGTCACGAGAAAGTTTCTCATTATTATGAGATGTTAAAGGGATACTCCACTTTTTTTGGAAATAGGCTCATTTTACAACTCCCCCATAGTTAAACTGTTGAGTTTTACCGTTTTTGAATCCATTCAGCCGATCTCCGGTTCTGGCGGTACCACTTTTAGCATAGCTTAGCATACATCATTGAAGTGGACAAGACCATTAGCATTTCTAAAAAAAAATTACCAAAGAGTTTCGATATTTTTCCTATTTAAAACTTGACTCTTCTGTAGTTACATCGTGCGCTAAGACCGACGGAAAATGTAAAGTTGCGATTTTCTAGGCTGATATGGCTAGGAACTATACTCTCATTCCTATAATCAAGAAACTTCACTGCCGTACCATGAGTGCAGCAGGCGTAATGATATGACGCAGCGCCTGAAAATAGTTCCGTTGTGTTGACGGAAGGTGGCCTATTTTCAGGCGCTGCGTCATATCATTACAGTTGTAAAATGAGCCTATTTCCAAAAAAAGTGGAGTATCCCTTTAAAGGTGGGGTATGTGATTTTCTTTTTTGAGCATTTTTTCAAAATCACTTGAAATCCTATTCCTTAACCCACTTACTATCACGACGCGCACACAAAAGGTTAGATCCAAGTGCAGTGGTTTTATTGGGGTAATCCAAAATCGTAATCAGCCAGGCAAAGCGTCAAAATCCATATAACACAGTCCAAAAACAAGAAACAAAACATGACAAGAACTCCGAGGTGCGAATAACATTAAACAAGGACTCGATGACAATCACAGAAACAAACAGGATACACACAGATAGGTGACGGGAAACAGCTGTGAGCAATAATCAATGAGTGACAGGATGATGGGAAATGTAGTCTAAATGTAAGGACACAGTGGTGGAAGAGGACCTCTGGTGGATACCCAGGGAAACACAAACCAGACACTGTGACACTTACAGCCACTGAGTTAGAAGCACTGAAATGAAAATTAAGCAATTTAATCATCTGTGGAACGGGCAGGCCTCTAAAAACTCCAGCCAATCATTTCCAAGACCACCTAGAATCATTGGACTGTAAGTGCGTCAATCAAACGGTCGTACCATCCCCCCCTCCCCCATACCCCTCGCGCGTGTCCCCTGTGTGCACATACTCAAAGCTCGTGACCCAGTCACAGTAAGTGCAAGTCGCCCCGGACGGTACAGAGAGAGAGAGAGAGTAAGTGCAATCTCGCGCATCTGAGTTTTGCAGATGCATGATTGCGCGTCCATGTTCTTCGAATGGGTGGAGTCAGGGCCAGCGTTGGAGGAAAGAAGGTAGGACCTTTTGAGTTGTGTATTTTCAAAATCTGCCAGCCGTTTTGCAAAACCCATACCCTACCTTTAAGTGATTATTATGAGAAAGTTTCCTATCATAACGAGATGTTAAGTCAATATTACGAGAAAGTTTCTCATTATTACGAAGTTTCTCATTATTATGAGAAAGTTTCTCATTATTATGAGAAAGTTTCTCATTATTATTATGAGAAAGTTTCTCATTATTATGAGAAAGTTTCTCATTATTACGAGATGTTAAGTCATAATTACGAGAAAGTTTTTCATTATTACGAGAAAGTTTCTCATTATTACGAGATGTTAAAGGAGCTGTATGTAAGATTGTGGCCAAAACCGGTACTGCAATCACTTTCAAATTACTGTAGAGTGGTGTATCCCCTCCCCCTCCCCCCTGACTCGAGGTTGCCAGATCGGCTGCATTTTTTTATCCGACACGTGTGTAGCTGCAGCTGTGGCAACTAGAGCAGAGCTGGCAACCCGGATGGCGCAACACTACTGACTTCGTGAATGGTCGATAGGTGGAGGGTGGAGCATCAGACCAAAACACAACATGACAACATCAACATCAGTTGAGGGCTGCAACTTCACTTTTTAAATGACAATATCCTGGCCGGACTACTGTTGTCAGTGATATAAGTATTTGAAATTAACATGATTTCTCAATGTCTAGTGACATATCAGGGCCCTTTTATGATTAATTCAAATACATTTCTTACATACAGCTCCTTTAAGTCATAATTACGAGAACGTTTTTCATTATTACGAGAAAGTTTCTCATTATTACTAGATGTTAAGTCAATATTACGAGAAAGTTTCTCATTATTACGAAGTTTCTCATTATGAGATGTTAAGTCATTATTACGAGAAAGTTTCTCATTATTATGAGATGTTAAGTCATTATTACGAGAAAGTTTTTCATTATTACGAGAAATTTTCTCATTATTACGAGATGTTAACTCATAATTACGAGAAATTTTCTTATTATTATGACTTACAGAATTATATTTTTTACTCAACTATGGCGGAAACGTATGGATGATGGAAAATCTAAAATTAAAAATCGAGGAAATAAGCATGAACTAAATATTCAGAATTGGTCAATAATATTGATAATTTAAAAAAGGTCTTCATGCTCATGTACTGAACATCAGTGCCACAAAAAATCATCACAGAGATTACAACAGAACA